TTGTGCCAGTGAGGGTGGTGGAGAATGGTGGATCCTGGCTGTATTTGAGGGGAAAGCTGATGGGATGTGCTGGTGAGTTGGGTGTGAATGTGAAGGCAGAGTCAGGAATGGCTCTCAGGTCTGGGGCTGCTGATACCTGGGGAGGAGGGGCTGCTGGAGATGGGCCAGGAGAACTCTGGTTTCAGGGGGAAGATCAAGATATGGAAACTTAAGTAATTTAGTCCTTAAAATCATCCTATGAGGTATGATGCTTTTATGTGTTCTCATTTTATAATTTGGGGAAACTGAGGCCCAGAGAGGACAAGGGATGTATGTGGTCAGTAGTTGTGCAGGTATTTGATTCCTGCTTATTCTCTACCTTGCTGAACTACAAGGATCTGGACAGAAAAGAGAGGTTAGATCGAACCCAGGCCCTGCTCTTGGTCACTGGCTGAGATGGTTAAGCTCTCGGAGCCTCAGTGATGCTATCTGTAAAATGGGACGACAGAAGTAATCAGATCATAGAGGTGTGAAAATGGTATCATTAGTTAGCAGTCAGGGCATATGTTTACTACTTCTCTGAGGAGGGAGCGGACGGGAGGGGTTTGCTCCTCCCTGTTTCCCATACCCTGGGCCCAGAGGCCCACTCCAGACCACAGACTCCAACTTTCTGATTACAGGACAGGTAGCAGGTGTAGGGCTCAGGCCATGAAGGACCTTGGCTTTGATCCCCTCTGTTGTATGGTGACCTCTCCTGTTCCTTGCAGGACCAAGGGAGGGCATAGGAACTGCTGGAGGTTTGAGCTGTGGCTTGGGCTATGTCCTAGACCCATTCCCACAGACCCCAGAGGTCACCCTGGTGTAGAGAATGCTGTGCCCCCAGTGCAGGCATGGTCTTGCCTGTGGCCAGTGGGCAAGGGTCCTGCCTTCACTGCTGGGTGCCAGGGGGATAGCATGCTTGGCCTTGTTTGCAGATAGAGGTCAGACAATGGCCATGGAGTGTTCAAGCAGGGCCCTCACTTGGTGGGACTCAGCCCTGGTACTGGACAGCTCAGGCGCTGGATGGGGCCACTCCTCTGCAGGCTAGATTGAGCCTGTGAGCACAGCTGTGGCTGAGCGAGTGACCCACAGGGGTTCTGGGGCTGCTCTGACCCGATGTGGGTGCGGGTCCAACCGTGATGACTGCTCGCTCCTGTCCCGGCTGTGGAATGAGTGACCCTGAGCTGCCTCTTGTGCCCTCCTTGAGAGAAATCAACAAGAAAGCCCCAGAGGGCCTCCTTTCCAACCTTGCCTCTCTGCTGCTTGTCCCTTGCCCTGTGGCCAGCAGCTCGCTCTCAGTGAGAAGGGATGGGGCAGCTCAAGAGCCAACTGTGGGCCCCAGTGTCTGGGGGCTTGGCTCCGGTCACTGCTCTGTCCTTGGCCCCACAGCCGCTGCAGCCCTGGAGCCCCACGTTCCCTCCGTTGGAGCAGGTGAGCCACCGCCTGCAGCCTGTTCATGTGCGGGGCATAGATCGGTCTCCCTGCTGACTCCTCGACTTTTGCCCCAGACCGTGGAGTGTGGCCTTGTGGGGCCGTGAGGCTGCGATGGAAATTTTTTCTTCTCAGTGTGACTGGCCAGAGCTCTTGGAGAGTTTGGAGCAGAGTGTGGAACCTGAGCAGGACTTTGTTCTCGGTCGTCTTCCTCCCACCTCCCCTGCTCCTGGCTGCCGCTGCTCCTGCTTTTCATCCTCTTCCACCCCCAAGGGCACTGAGCAGCTTTGTACAGCCCTTGGAGACGGCTTGGAATTCATGCTGCCGGAGGTCCTCTGAGGCCAGTGCAGTCCAGACGTTTCTTTTGGCCGAGACATTTCTTTCGGCCCTTCTGACACGAACACTTCCATCCCAGGCCTAGGTACCTAAGACATCAATACCTCTTACAGGGCTATTTAGTGCTGGTGACAAGCCCCTCTCTAGACAGGGACACGAGTGACTCCTGGGGCAGCCTCACGCTCCAGGTAGGAGCCGGTCACGTGCGATGGGTGTCCACTGTGCAGCAGGTCCCAGTGAAGACTGCTTGTCGTCCCTCAGCTCTGGCTGCAGGCCACGGGGGTGGCTAATGACGCCATTGCTCCCAGAGAACTAGCCTTGCCGCCACAAGACGCCCGTGTGTGGGGGGTGTGGGCTTTGCAGACCGCTGCTGGCAAGTGCCGTCTCTTTACCCAGGAGATCCCTACCTCAGACTTCTTAGGAAGTAAACGTGGTGAGGTGGTGCGTGGCACCATGCCCCAGCCTGGGGCGGTCGTGGTTGAGTGTGGGCCTCAGGGTGTGCACCCAGGCTCTGATGCTCCAGACACCTGCCAAAGCCCCTTGGAGGACCGGCCCCCATGGCTGGACTGCAGTGCCTAAGACTGAGCAGGGCGGCTGAGGTCACTGGCCTCCGTGGCCAGACTGAGTAGGGCCTTGTGGGTCATGGCAAGTGCAGTGGAAGCCCTTGGAGTTTCTAGAATTGCAGTGACTTACGGCGTCAGGAAGTCACTCTGGCCTCAGCGGGGTGAAGGCTGGAGGGGCCGAGGGAAGCGGGGAGCCCAGCGAGGTGGCAAACTCAAGGCAGGAGGCCCTGGGTGATTTATCCCGTCCCGTACTTGGAAGAGAGCCTGCTGGGTTGGGCCGGCAGCTGGGGCAACGTGACACAAGTAGGAGGCCAGGAGGACCGTGCGGTTCCGGGTGAGCTGGGGTGGAGGCAGTGGCTGGCCCCAGCCTGCTCTGAGCCCATCAGACACCCCGGAGCTGGTGCCTGGGAGATGGGCCAGGCGGTGAGAAGGCCTTCCTGCTGAGGTTGAGAGGTGAGGAAGAGGGGCAGCAGCCATCAAGAGGACTGAAAAGGAACCACTGTGGTCACTGGGGGCTTTGAGAACTACTGCATCAGTAGAAACAAACGGCTGATTGGAAGTGGGTTCTAGAAAGGGAGTGGAGGAGGTACTAGGGGAACAGAAAAATGTTGCTATCTAGAGGGGCTGATGACGGGTTTCCCCAAGGCGGGAAAAGCAACGCCTACTCCTGAGAAAAAACCTGGTCCCATTAAAAGACCAAGCCACAGAGATGTTGAATGTTTATCCAGGAGGGCTGGGAAAGTGCAGAGGACCTGTCCCTGTCTGCCCCCAAGGAGCACAGGTGAGTACAGTGAGCAGCGGGGTACACATGAGCTCCTCAAAGGTTTCACAAGGACTTGCTCTCATTGGGCAGGGGGTGGAGGGGAAATAATTTATTCCAAATTCTTGTGCCTTGCCCTAGAAAAGGGGGACAATCTCTCCTTGATGCTTCAGACACTAGCTGGTTTTTTAAATATTTTTTTTAAAGTTTATTTTTATTTAGTTTGAGAGCAGGGGAGGGGCAGCGAGAGGAGAGAATCCCAAGCAGGCTCCACATTGCCAGCCAGAGCCCAACTCCAGGCTCAGAATCACCAACCACGAGATTGCAATCAAGTTAGGCACTTAACTGACCGAGCCACCCCCCCACCCCCCTTTTTTTTAGCTTTGAGAAACCAGAGTAAGAATTTCATACCTGCGAACTTTTGAAACATGGAATAATATAAATGCTAAGAGAGAATGGGGATGTTATTATTCTTGAGTAGGTAGGAGTTACTCAGGACTTGTGCTCAAGAGCCTCAAGCCAGTACCACTGAGCGTCTCATATGCAAGGTACTTTGGAGCCAGGAGTCCTGGCTTTCAACATCCTATTTCTAGAAGGCTCCCCACACAGATGTCAATCAGAACTTCATGTGCAGCCCTGCCCTAGATGGGTTTTTCTTAATGTTTACTTAGGAGAGAGAGCACAAGGAGAAAGGCAGGGGCAAAGAAAGAGGGAGACAGAGAATCCAAAGCAGGCTCCACTCTGTCAGTGCAAAGCCTGATGCAAGGCTCAAACACAATTGTGAGATCAGGACCTGAGCCAAAGTTGGACACTCAACCAACTGAGCCATCCAGGTGCCCCAGCTGGTCTTTTTAACTTGGCATGTTAAAGCCTGTGTTTCTTTCCAGTGCATCTGTTCAACTGACTTGTTTGCAGACTGGATTACACAGTTGCTTGCTTGGAAAACCTTCCCAGGTAGACGTATTGGGGCCTCAATCTCTGATGTCTGAAATCACCCATGCACAGGAAGGCATCCAGACTTCAGTCTACTGGCCTGGACCTTACTCTTCATGCAAGTCCAAGAAAAGGCGAGACGGACCAAAAAGACACAGAGGCAAAGGGCCCGGGGCTCTTTTCCCTAACAATTTCAGATGCACGCCCACTGGAAAAAACCCTGGCCTCTGGCACTGCACAAACCACCAGGGAAAGCGGACCAGTGACCTCTGTTCACCAAGTTCTCAAACCCTTCCTCAAGGAAGCGCCCCAGCATCATGGAGTAGAAAAGTAAACAATGAAACCTTTCCCCTGTAAGCAGTCACTGACACAGACTTTCCTTCTGAAGTGTGTGGAGCCTGACCTGGAAGGCACACTAAGCCAGGACACAGCCTGGAAGCAGCAGTCACCCGTGTCCACGTGACTTGAGGGGGCTGCACCAAGCCATGGCACCAGGCCTTCTGACACAGCCCTCCTTCCCACACACTGGACAGACCTGGGCTAGATGTCCCCACGTCTGGAGCTACGGCTTGGGGTCAGTGTGACACTGGAACCCGGGTTCCTTGCTGGCGGCACCATGACTGACACGGCGCCGTCCTTTGTTTTCACGTCCCGACCACTTTGGGTTTTCCCTCACAGGACACTCGAAGGAGCGGTTGTCTGGCGGGTCGGGGCGCGCTCCAAGCAGACAACGCAGTGACTGTGGAACAGAGGCCGAGAAGGATGACTGTTTATAAACATTTGGAATTTTATTTAAAAAAAAAAAAAAAATCAAAAAAACATCACAACCATGAACATTGTTACAGTTAGAGGCCCTCTTGGTTCTCCACAATGATACTGAGCATGCTCACAAGGGGTTCCCATTGTTTAGTCTTAGTTAAACAACCATCTTTAAAAGAAGGAAAAAAAACTCGGCACACTACCATTTAACTTGTTTTAATGTTTCTTCACAAATGGTGAAAAATACTAAAGTACAGACAAGGAATAATCATAATGTTGTGGCCAACATTATAAATATGGAATTATAAATTTAAAACATTTTCTGGTTTAAAAAATAAATCTGGTAGTCAATGCAGCTCTGCGGGGTCTCTGCGTCTAGTAGGGCCGGTCTCTGCGTTCCTGACGGTGCTCGCCTCTGCAAGGCGGAAAGGGGGGATGGGTTAAAAGGGGGGGAACGAGGAGGAGCTTCCCACCCCCTCCCACTGAAGCTGGACCCACTCCAGTCCGACAGGAAGGGGCTGCTGCCCCGATGCGCCCGGCAGCCGCAGCTGGTTTTCACCATCACATACTTATCCATTTTCCCGGGGCCTCCACGCCCGCCTCTTCTGCCTCCCATCTGTTCCATCAAAGGTCCAGGGGGCCCACCAGGGCCACCTCGTCTTCCTCCACCAAAGCCACCTCGGTCCATGCCCCGGCCACCACGGAAGCCACCCCTGTCTCCACGGCCACCTCTGAACATTCCACCGGGACCACCGCGGTCCATGAGGCCGCCTCTTCCACCTCGCATGCCACCAGGGCCACCTCTGCCGCGGTCACCACCTGAAACAAGGAAAAGGACCGATCAGCAAGACAGGACAGAGGCTGCTGTGGACATGCCTCAGAGGCTGCTCAGGATCTGCGCCCTCCTCCCAGAGCAGAAACAAAGCAGGTACTTTACTTCATCCAAATATCTGGGCCACACTTTATTTAGGACTGATGATGGGACTTGAGGACCCCACCACTACAACTGCACTTACTGCAACCACCAGCCGGCCTGGCATTAGCAGTGGGCAGCAGGACTTTACCAAGTCCACCAAGTTAACAAGGCAGGTTTAGTATGAAGAAGCGGAGGAGATGCTCCCAAAACCTGTACCTACCCGGGGGTGGAAAGGGTGGTGGAAGGAAGCCTTCAGGCTTCGGGGCCTTACACTGGTTGCATTCTGTTCTCCAGGCGAAGTTCTGGTTTCCACAGCCCCTGCATAAAATTATATCACAACAGAAATCACCAACTCAACTAAGAAGTTAAGCAAAGGCACACACTGTATTTCCACCAGTACAAATATACTGGGCCTGGGTCAAACACCATTAAGAGGATCTGTTGACAGAAAATGGCTTTAGAGCCACCGCCTCAGGCAGCAAGGCACCCAAAAGACTGAGGTATGATCCAGAAAATGTCTGCAAAACCACACACACGTGGACCCCAGGTGTCTAGTGGAACCATGAAAGGCTCTGACTGACTGACTGGGCCCCCCATCCACCCCACTACAGAGCAATCAGGGTCCTCATTTCGCTCCTCCTCTCCACAGTGGGAATGGGTGAGACAGGACTTCACTAGTGTAGACTATCAGTTTGTCAAGAGAAGTACATACGGATTGGGGCACTGCCAGTCTCCAGCTCGGTGCTGGACATTTCCTCCTCCGGATGGATTCCCCCGGGAACCCCGGGGCCCTCTTGGGGGAAAGCCACCTCTGTCTCCTCCACGGCCTCCCATGCGACCCATGGGGCCCCCAGGACCTCCTGGGCCTCCTGGACCTGCAATAAGAAAGAGCCAGTCGGGCGCCTGGGTGGCTTAGTCGGTTAAGCGTCCGACTTTCGCTTAGGTCATGATCTCGCGGTTCGTGTTCGAGCCCCGCGTCGGGCTCTGTGCTGACTGCCAGCTCAGAGCCTTGAGCCTATTTCAGTCTGTGACTCCCTCTCTCTCTCACGCTCTCTCTCTCTCTCCTGGAAATAAATAAAACATTTAAAAAAAAAAAAAAAAGAAGGAGCCAGTCACCTCTGCACAGCACTACATTTGCTGCAGGAAACACCCTAGCATTAAAGGAATTGGCAGAGATCACCGCTGCCAACTGTCCCATCATCAGCCCCAGACTTTCCTACAGGCAGGAAGGCTGAGCTCTGTGCCTTCCATGCACGTTACTTCAGTTGGCTCCCATAAACTGTACAAGAACAGGCACTGCATGCAGACAAAGAGGCCCAAGCAAAATAAATAAATGGCAGCCCTGGGCTGACAGCCAGGCAGCGGTTCCCAGGCACACCAGCACCCCCACCCCACCCAGCCAAGAAACCCGTCCTTCTCTTCCTTTTGTTCCCGCAAACTTTTGCTGTCAGCATTCGTTGGTTCAGTATTAATCCTACACACCTTCTTACTATTTCTAATGGGCTTGTTTACATTCTAGAAATCAAGTTTCTCAAAGACAAGTGTGCCATAAAATGTTCAAAGCAACACAGAAGCAGCTCACAGCAGGTGTCCAGTAAATACCTCCACGGAGCGGTGGCGGCATCCCTCTGCCCTCACGGGGAGGCATGCCACCCCGCATGCTGTTCATTGGAGGCTTCTTCCGAGCAAGAGAAACCTTAAGTTTGCTCCCTTGAAAATCTTTTCCTAGAGTAAGAGAACAGAACACCAGTCACTCCCAAATTCTAACTCTTCCCTCCATGTGGGATTAGGCAAGGCTAGAACACTCCTTGCTCACAAGCCACCGCCATCACACCCACCTACCCAACCCCACTGCAGCACGTGCTCCACCCACAAACTGCACTCAGATTGTTGCTGGCAAGGCCATAAAACACCTTCAAAAGTGACCTCTGTATCCTAAGCCAGGGGAGAGTTGAGTGCATTGGCATCTGTGCCCCAAGAAGGGTGAGAAGTAGGGACAAGTGCATAAAAGTGGCCAACAGAGGAGACCCAGGAGCTGTCCCCTGACACTTTCAAGTTGGTTTTGTCTGCAGTGAAAACTCCAGAATCAATGCCAAGGCTGAATGTATATACTCAAATGTGTACTGGATTTTTGTGTGGCTGTACCTCCCGATACCTACCCGGGCTTATTACAGAAGCATCTACAACTATGCCAGTGAGCACCCCCCGTCCACTCTAGGGCTCTTACCATCAAACCACTCCACAGCCGCCTTGGCAGTTGGTGGGTCTTCGTAGGACACTGTAGCATCGCCTTTGGGTTTTCCTGTTTCCTTGTCCAAGTAGATATGGATCATGGGTTGTCCGGTTCTCTTGTTCATCTAGGCATAAAATAGCACCGTTAGGCTGTGACCAGAAATACATTACTTTTGGGGGGACAAAAGCCCATGTGAAATTTAGGTAAGTCCCTTAAATTGTCCAAAGCAGGAATTTTTCACAGACACACATTTAGTAAGATGCTAGTTTATCTCCTGAGTAGTGGGATTATGGGGAACTGATCTCCTAAACTGCCTCAACATACACACTTAGGTGGTTCCCCTCACTTAGGTGTAGGAATCATGAAAACCAAAATATGCCTTAAGTTCTAAATTGCATGAGTGAATATAGGTTCTGTTCCTTCCCTAATTGTCATTCTCCTAGTGTCCTTGCACCTGCCCCAACGTTTTCTATGTCCACACTAACAGGCTCCTGGTCAGAGCAACCACCTTTTATTTTTATTATTTTTTTTTTTACAAATAGTTTATTGTCAAATTAGTTTCCACATAACACTCAATGCTCATCCCCACAAGTGTCCTCCTCCATGCCCATCCCCCCCCCAATCAATCCTCATTTTTGTAAAGCAACCACCTTTTAAAGCAACAGTCAGGCTTTGATTCCATCACATAAAGCCATGTCTCGTGCTAAGTAAAAATCACACTTAACTCAGTACAGTGTACAGGACTGAGTGTGCTAGAAGCATTCTTAAGTTTAATACAGCCAATTTTTCCTCCAGGGCTACAACACATCACTAGCTTTTCAGGTGAACACAGATGCAACGAGATTGTATTCAGGAGCCACACTGTATAAGAATATGGCTTCATGTGTTTTCTGCATTAAATGTGCATATGATCAAAGTCTAATCTATACATGTTTGTTTATACACCTAATGATACCTACGAGTACTGACATATAAGGCTTTCTTTTTTTGAAATAACTTTTGTAAGATTATGTATAGACACCTATCTTTTTATAGATGAAGTATATAGATAGAAAAGAAACATGGCAAAATAGCGATGTGAACAATGGGCTGTGTGTGTGTTTATTTTGAGAGAGAGAGAGAGAGAGCGAGCGAGCGCGCGTGCAGGGGTGTACCAGTGGGGGAGGGAGAAAGAGAAAGAGAGAATCCCAAGCAGGCTCCATCCTCAGTGTGGATCCCGTCGATATGGGGCTCAATCTCATGAAGGCAAGATCACCACCCGAGCCGACATCAAGAGTTAGATGCTCAACTGACTGACCCATCCAGGCACCCCGTGGGCTATGTACTTTTAAAATCTCCTCTATTTTACAAAATTCATAGTATACACTACCTTCTTAACTAGGAACAAACCCCACATACCCAAATAAACAACATACCATATACATCACAAGTAGAACAAAATCTTCATTACGGAAGTCTTAAGATCTACCAGCATCAACTCTATTTCTATATAGTTACAACCACAAAATGTCATTTGAAAATGACCATTAACTATTAACAACTAAAAAAACCTAAAAATAAATCTTTGCAAGCAAAGACTTGCAAAACCTTACTAAGGAGACAGTCTTTGTTAAAGACCTTAGTAAATGGGCATAGGATATTCACAGAAAAAACTACAAAGTATTATAAAAACGTTAATTCTTCTCAAATTGTCTTATAGAGTCAATGAATACTCAATTGGGGTTTTTAAAGAACTTCCTAAATGGAAATGTACATAGAAGAGCAAACAGTAAATAGCAAAGCACTCCTGAGGAAAAAGAACAAACCAGAAGAATTTGCTTGATATTTGTAGATATCAAGACTTGGCATAAAAATAACTAGCTCTGCTATCATAAGTACAGGCTCATACAAATGAACCCAAAACATAAAAGATAGTTATGAGATCGATATAGTCTATACCATCCAGGAAAGGACAGCTCTTTCAATAAACATTGCCAGAACAGAGGGTCTTACATAAAGAAAGACACAAACCAGTAAGGACAAGACTGGTAAGTTCAACTACACAAAGAGGTTCTATTCATCCAAAGAAAAGGAGTTAATAAAGACTGGGAGAATACATCTGCAATATCAGACAAGGATCACCTTCGGAGAATATAAAGAACTATGTGCAGAACAACAAATAACAACCCAATGAAAAACGAGTACAAGACCAACAGGCATTTCACAGAAGACAATTAGATGCAATTAGAACATGATTAGCAATCAGGGAAAATCAAATTAAAACCACATTTCCATTTTCTTCTAGTAGACTGGCTTAAGTTAAAGATTTGGGAGATTCCCAGTAGTAGTAGGAATGTGGTGAATGCGGTATCAGGAATGCTGGCGGAATCGAAGTTGTTCAGCTGTACTAGCATCTTGTGAAGTTAAACACATACACCTTAAGAACCAGCAAGTCTATGCCTAGGTACAGCTGAGCCTCATTATTTGTGGACTCAATATCTGCAAATTTGCCTACTTGCTAAAATTTGTAACTCTAAAACCAATCCTTGAGGCACTTCTGTGGTTATCTGTACACATGCACAGAGTGGCAAAAACTTAAGCTGCCTGATGCACGTGTTCCAGCTGAGCTCAAAAGAGACATACTACCCCCTCCTTCCAGCTCTCTCTAGAGAAGACCAGGGGATGGAGACCGGAGGGAGCAGGGCAGTGTAGCGCAAGAAGTTTTGGCCCTGGGGGCCAGTTGGATGAATCTGAATGTCAACTCAGACAAGTCATTTAATACTTCAGAACCTCATTTTCTCTTTGTAAGAGAAAATCTATCAGGGTGAAATGTTTTTACAATTTATGATTTAATCTATGTGAGATATGTGTATATGGCTGTGTACACACTTTCCCTAGGAGCAGTGTGGTTCAGCATTCTTTAATTCAGTGTTTTGTAGTGACTTTATAGAACTACTGCAAGTAAGTCCACTGTACCCAAAGAGTAGTGTACAAGACATTCACTGCATCACGGGCTATAGACTAAAAACTTCGAAATAACCTATTAGAGGGGCGCCTGGGTGGCTCAGGCGGTTAAGCATCTGACTTTGGCTCAGGTCATGATCTCATGGTTTGTGGGTTCAAGCCCCGTGTCGGGCTCTGTGCCGACTGCCAGCTCAGAGCCTGGAGCCGGTTTCAGATTCTGTATCTCCCTCTCTCTCTGACCCTCCCCTGCTCAAGCTGTCTCTTTCTCTCAGAAATAAAACATCAAAAACAAAAACAAACAAAACCCCAAAACAAATCTATTAGAGAATATATGAATAACTTGTGATGTATTTATAAATGAAATACAAGATTCCCCCCACCCTCCATTTTTAAAATGTTGGTTAGTATTTTTTTTTAAGTTTATTTATTTTGAGAGAGAGAGAAGACAGAGGGGAGGGGAGAAGGGGGGGAGAGAGTGAGAGGGGGAGAGAGGGAGAGAGAGAGAAAGAGAGAATGAATGAATGAATGAGTATGAATGAATCCCAAGCAGGCTCCACACCCAGCAGAGCCCAATGTGGGCCTTGATCCCCCGAACTCAGAGATTGTGACCTGAGCTGAAATCAAACATCTGATGCTTAACTGACTGAGCAAACCAGGTGCCCCTTCCCAAACGTTTGCTTCTAACTTGGGGACCCCCCAATCCCTTTTCAAAACCCAAGTTTCTTAGTTTTCCCCACCTAAGGAATAACCCAACCACTGCTCCAAGAGCTCAGATCAACACTTTCTAGTCACACTAGCTTTGTTGAGCTTCTAGGACCTTTTGCCTCGCTATTCACTCCATTCTTCTTAAAAGCCTTCTCCACTTTGAAATATACTGGCTCTAGTCCTCATTTTATCCCCACCCTCCTTGCTGTACTTTTCCTCCATAACATCATCTAACATACTGTATTTCTTCCTACTATGTGTCCCCCACTAGACAGGAACTCCAAGGGTTCCCTATCTGCTCATTCCTGCTAGATCCCCTGAATAGCGCTGCCTTATAGTAGTATCTAACAGACACTCTTCAATACCAAGCATATGTGTATGAAAAAAAAAAGGAGAGGTAAGATTTGGGATGAAAGTGCTGAGAAGGGATAAAATTGGGAAAGAAACAGGCCACATACACTTAAAGCTCTACTTCTTATACTGGGAAGAAGAGACATAAATGTTCACTCTTTTAAAAACTATTATATTCTGTATTTCACAAGTAGCATCCATATAAGTATTCTTACAAGTAACTGACAATGATAAAGAAAGGACGGAGTTGTTGGGGTGCCTGGGTGGCTCAGTCAGTTAAGTGTCCGATTTCAACTCAGTTCAAGGGTTCGAGCCCCGCGTAGGACTCTGTGCTGACGGCTCAGAGCCTGGAACCTGTTTTGGATTCTGTGTCTGCCTCTCTCTGCCCCTCCCCTGCTCACACTCTATCTCTCAAAAATAAACAATAAAAACAAATTAAAGAAAGGACCGAGTTGTTAAGTATAATCAAGCCACATTTAACATTTCTTGTTTTCTACAAAAAAGAAAGGTTTTTGTTAGCAAACTACACTAAGAAGTCAGGCAACCTCAGAAGCCGTCAGATCTTCAGAAACATTCAACATCAACTATGTCTCTATAAACTAAATGCCTGGTGACTGAAGATCTGCCAGCTCACACGGTTATGCTCTTTACTGACCTTAACAACTCCACACTGCTTAAAGAAGTCTGCCAGATCGTCTAGAGTCACATTGTCATTTAAGCCTTGCACATAAATTGCACTGTTGTCAGAGTCTTCATCTGGATCTACAGGTGGGCCTTTTAGAAAAAAGACAGAAGGGAGTTATTGTCCTGTATTTTTACGGGCTAATTAACCCACTAGTCACTACTGCTCACTGGTAATTAACACAAGGCTGAGAGAACTACCAGCCACACTAACAAGAAGGCCATGGAACTTGTGGTTTCCTTTGTCTAAGGCTAAGTAAATGCTCATGATAAAGGGAGCCCAAACTGCTCCTGACAGCAAAAATACACACCAATCTGTCAGGCTGCTGAGCTCCAGCACGCACTTAACTTCTGCGCTGTTCGTATATAAAGCAAGATACAAAATTCAAGAATTCAAAATTACCTAGATCAAGATCTGGTCCTTCGTCCATGGGTCCTGCCAACCAGGAAAGATCATATAAGATACTATTAGTGCACGTCTTGCAAGCTACAAACCTTACAAACACACATAGCTATCTACTATACCACCATTTGATGGGGCTTCATTAAATTCAAAAAGACCCGCACTGCTAAAATGGAGCAGTGCCCCTTTAACATTTGTGAAAGATTTGCTAGGGTTTTGCTTTTTCTCTGCTGGTTTGCTTTTAAACCATTAACCAAATACACTCTCAGTGCTTATGTGCCAAATTAAGTGTTAAATTTAAGTCAAAAATTTTCCTCCAAACAAACCAAATTTAAAAAATGGATTCTCCCCCATATTACTGAAGCAGTTGCTCAATACTTCAAGTTACCCTTTGTTTTGTAACCATAGGTTAACCTTATTACCCCTAAGACAATGCCGGCAGTACCCATTAGTTTCTTTGTATAGATCATTTTTAAACCGCTTATGAAACTAATAAAAAAATTATAGTTTTCTAAAAACTGACTGTATTTTTTTTTAAACACTATCCATGGTAATACTCAAAAACTTACCACCAGGCTTATTGAAGCCACCTCGCTCTCCAGCGCTGCTGGGGGGATAAACGAAGAAATGAAGGCCTTTCCCTTTAAAAGCCAGTACCGCTCTGAGCCTTGGGGGGGCTCGTGGGGAAGAAGGGCACTGGCTAAACACATCTCCAAACAATGCATCTCTCTCATCTTGTCACTATGCCTTTCTTCAGGGCAGCTTGCTCAAATTTCCTTTATATACAACCTTGCTTGTCTGATTGTACACACCAGTGTGGTTGGTTCCTTTCATTTCGGGGGCTGGTATTAATAGTGCAATACTTGGCGTTAGGGGAAAAAACCAGATCCCAAACACCCACCCCATCAGCTGAAAAACAGGGAGAGCTTGGTTGTAGAGTGGAGCAGCAAAGCTGGGGCAACTGCTTTCCATGTTCATAAAGGTGCACCCTCAACCTCTCCTAGGGGAGAGAGCCCAGGGAGGCTTCCTAACAAGTCACAGTATAATCAAGCAGGAGACAACCACATTAAACACCTACAACACACATCAGAGGACGCATCCAGCCAATCTTCAGCATAAAGCCATACATTTCAGGGCACTAATGGATTTAACAATCGCTGTGAAAGGAGAATTTACAACAAATACCAGGGCTCAACGGACTGGGGGTGCAACTTTATAGACATATAGTTGAGAAGAGTGATGACAGCAGTATAAAATTACTGCCTTACATACTGTAAACAGGGGGAGGGAATATGATGGGTCTTTTTTTTTTTTCTTTAAAAATTAAATAGAGGCAGCTCCTCAGTGGGAGGCCTTGGGCTTTTTCTAACCAGTATTGCACCTTTAATACCTGAATATACAATTTCAAGCTGTTGCATGCAGCTTTGTTTCCTTTTTAAAAGTACACACCATAAAATGTTCTCTCTTCTTTAAACACAAAAGTTTACACTTTAATGTTACACAATTCTAGAGTATTATACCTCCTCTGGTTCATTACCAAATAACAAGTATGCAGTTACCAAAGTTACAGAAGGATTCCATTTATACAATGAATACATTTTGTTAAAAATATTCTATGTATATTTTTCCTCTCCATATGGACACCGTGTCTAGTCCCACTTTTCATTATGCTGCCGGCTGAGTACTGAGTACGGGTACTTTTTAAGTATTGAAGTGTATACAAGGCTCTCACTTTGTAACCTGTAGCATATAAATGCGACAAAGCATGTTAAAAAGTTTCCACGTTTAACAGCCAATGAAAATATCAAAATACTGAGGCAATGAAAAAGGGCATGTTAACAACATTGAGTGCCTTACCTGTAGAAGACACTGAAAACCATCACCACACCACAGTAAAAAAGAGGGAAGGGGAGAATACCCCTGTTCTGTCCCCAAGGTATCCAACTGACTGCTTCACAGTCAGCTGAAAAACCTGTGGGAAAGCCACGATTTTTTCTATGGCTCCAGGAGAGACTTCTCATCCAGAAAGAGGGCATCCCTCTATTAGCAAAGTCTAGCAAAATTAGTAGAATTATTACTTCTGGAGTATTAAAATGAGTGAACTTGAAATTGGTTTTGCAATTGAAAAATTCTAAGAATTCTAGGTGATTGGAGACGTGATGATAGTAATTTCAAGTGTCTACATCTATTTTAAAACATCCATAAAGTGAAACCTTTATAATGGAATGACTTTCTCCAAATCAGATTTAACTTTATACCAAATTGTTCATAAATTTTGGCGTGTTGTCAAGTAACAGTTTCTTCCAATAAAGATTTCACCAAAGACTTAAGTTATGCAGAATATGCAAAATGGTATTTTCAATCAGTATCTTTCAAAAGGAAACAGATTTGCTAATATATAAAGATCATATTAATTCTAATTTTGAAGTCCATGTCTATTAAAAAAAACAAAAAACAAAAAACAACGAAATCCTATCCAATTTTTCCTTGAACCAACAGTGACACCAAATCCAATATACGTAATATGTAACATTCTGCATAACTTTTTTTTTTAACTAGTTTATATAGGGACAGAACACACACAGAACTAAACCTTCTGGATTATGTTAACCACCAACATTATACCTCACCTTCATCAAAGTACAGACACCAGAGAGGGGAGAAGGGAGGGGAAAAGGGAGGGGAGGGGCAGGCACAGGTAGCAGGGTTATATTACTGATCTAAACAAAGTTTTCTAAACCAGATTGTGCCATCAATCAAAATGGTCAAACCGATTTAGACTTCTCAAGATCTCCAATGGGGAGTGATCCTGTAATTATATACATTACTCTGCAAAGAGCTATTGGACGTTTCTGTGTAACCAGGTGCACCTCAGGCCATAGTTCAAGGGTTACAGGACCAATATCTTCATCATTATGTTCAACAGTTGCGAGTAAACAGAAGTTAGGGACAAACACTGGAAAACAGCTGCTCTTTTCTGCAGTACATATACACCAGGTGTTTCAAGACAACCATTCAGAGGCAATTAGTTAAAACCTAGGGGTGTTAGAAGGTTGTGTGTGTTCCATCCCAAGCCTATTACCCACAGAGGCTTTTGACCTCTGGAAACCATGAAGGGAACTGAAAGCTCTAGTTTCAAAACCATTCTTTGTTCTCCCCAACCCAACTAAGTAGATTGGCAGGGAATAAAGCAAACTGCCACTTAATCTATGCCACAAAGATGACATTTCCATGTTTTAGAAGATGGCCTGGGCTCAACAGATTGTCCATGGAAATGTAGAAATAAATTTCTTATGTCTTTCAGTCCCTTCTTTCCATTGAAAATCCTATGGATGAAACAAAATTAAGTAAAAGGAGAAAAGGTTTGCTCTTACCCCATTCCACCGCGTCCTCCTCCCCGCCCACCTCTGCTCATGCCTCCACGATCAAATCCCCCTCTTCCCCTGCCCCGGTTATCAGGGCCACTCATGCTCCGGTTCTCTCCTGGTCCGGAAAATCCTCCAGACTCCTGCCCATAAACACCCATGCTACTGGGGTGGTCCTGTCGGAATGAACCTGAGGAAAGAGTCACATCTGTAAGCCATGGACCAGCATTTGAACCACTGCCTGTTGTACTTTCTCCTGGAATCACAGAATTCTCAATTGCAAGATACTAACCAAGGCACCGTCTTCTTTACACCTGACAAGGCACCTCTACCAGTAGGCTCTTTTAAGTTTAACCCAAACTGCTAATTCATCAAGTGAAATAACCTTAGTTACCCTAGAATAAACCACCCAAACAAAAGCCCTCTGGCCAATAGTTTACAAGGTTTTGTATCCTAGGATGTCTCTAAAAGCTGCTTCTTTAAACTCTCAAAAACAAAACCAGAGCTAGGTTTCTTAGGGCTTTAGAATATCGCCCCATCAAGCAGCACTACTCATTTCACAGCCATAAGGAAACATGCCCATGAATAGAAGTTAATTAAAAAATAAATAAATAAAACAAACAAAACCCCAAAAACATCCCCCAATAATCCAGGTAGAAATTAAATTGTGAAGCAGTTTTCAAGTTTTGGTTACTTCTCCACGTCAAATTGAGTGGTCCGTGAGGAGGTTTTTTGTTTTGTGTTTTTTTAACTAACATAAACAAAAAGCCAAAAACAAAACCTAGCATTTACTTGACTATCAAAATTGCAGTAGTCTTCAACAGCTATCTGCTCAAGTCCTTTTAATGAGCTGGGGTGGGCAGGCCACAGGAATGCCGGCTTCCCTCACTGTATGTAATCTCCTCAAAGAGAGCAAAGCTGGCAGTCTTAGCATGTTTTCTCGGGTCAGTTACAAACTCCCTCTTCTCTTTTTTGTGAGGCATACTAGGAACATCAATTAAACTAGAGAAAAGCACTCATGTCTCTGGTGGGACATCCAAGTGGTTATTAGCCAGGATGCTAGGTATAAAGACACACCCTGGAGTCCAAAAGTAAACAATTGTAAAGAGTATTTCCCCATTTTCAGAAACTCCAAACATAATCATTGTTATTTGTTTTTCTCTCTTAGCAACTCACTCTGCTGCCCGTAGCTGCTGCTCTGTTGGCTATATTGACTTGGAGCCTGGCTGTAGGATCCAGTTTGGGGGGGATAACTAGTGGGCGGCTGCTGCCCATAGCTGCTTTGTTGACCATAGCTACTCTGCTGTCCATAGCTGCTTGGTTGCCCATAGCTACTCTGCTGTCCATAGCTGCTCGGCTGCCCATAGGTGTTCTGCTGAGAGTAACTGCTCTGATCATAACTAGTCGGCTGTGTAGAGGAATAGCTGAAAGAAAAAAAAAAAAAAAGCTTTTTAGAAGGAGAGGCTTGTTATTTCTTCAAGCCCCCTTGAATACAGAGCGTGACACAGAAACACTTAAAAATGCACTTACTTTCTACCCATTGACAGTTTGAATTTAAAGTAAGCAAATCTTTTTGTATTCAGAATAAAGCTATAAATGCAAAGGAAGGGAAAATACTGAAAACCCATCTACCATACAATATACAACCCCAAGTCTCCTCTTCTACTTCACACCTCATTAAAACCATGGTTATTTTTAATTAAACTGAAAGCCAATTTTGGAGTTTAGGTGCTTCCTGTATTAAGGGAAGAATATGTGCATATGCACTCAGGGCAAGCTGACCCAGTGAAAAAGCCACCAAGGAAAAGGAGGTAGTTAAGTTTGGCAGTTCTAAGCCTGCCTCCAACAATTCCCTTCAGTCATGACAGTGATTTTTCTGAAGATACAAGACTGCTTGGTGTGTGTGTGGTCACACAAATATGGCAATTTTCTCTTGACAATTTGTCCCAAGTTTCAAACTATCTTGCTATGTATGGTATAAAGTTTCAAACTTTTAGACATGCCTGATCATCTATGAAATCTGGGCATTAACGAAGAAAAGATGCAGAAGGAAACTTCAGAATCAAGACACTATACAAGAAATTTGACATGTCAACCACGTATCAGGAAAACTACCAAAGATAACCTTCTAACATAGAAATAAACCTTGGAAAGAACTATTAAACTTTAGGTTTAATAACTATATTAAACAACTATAATAATGAAAAAACAAAAAAACCATCATATAAGAAGTACAGTTAAACTAAGCATCTACCACTAACACCGCCCAACATGGCTGTACAGACCCAACAGCCTCCCCTCACTAGGTGCACCTATTTAACGGGCCGCATGAACTCCTCTCAGCAGAACAGGCGCAAGCAGGCTCTGTGGCAGAACCGCTGTAAGCCTGCCCAATGCTGCTCCTAGTTGTACACTTACCCGGTCAGCCATATCTACTCCTAAACCTGTTCACATCTGCTGCGCTCTACTGTGTAAACCAATGAAACCGTACAAAACAGGGAACTGCCACCTCTAGCAGAACTAAGTTAACACTTCAGGGACACAATTCAGACAATTCATTTGAAAATTTGCTTCTAATTAAACGTGAGCGAGAAAACCTGGCAGTTCTTCTTCCTCTACTTTTAAAAGAAACTCAAACTAGACATCGTAGCTGCTGGTGTGGCTAACATAAGACAGAAAATGACAAACCTGTAGACAGAAGTAAAGGCCCTGGCCCGATCATTAAGACTTGCGCATAAACAGACCTCTGAAGTTAAATATGAAATGATTAAAATAAAGTTTTCTTTTTTATGTCCTGCACTTTACCCATCTGAACTGCATTGGAGAAGGTGGCTCCCATGGCTAGGTTTACGTGCTTTCATATACTTGTTTTTCTCATGCATCTGAATTAACTAAAAGAGCAAAATTAAAGAACCACCTAAGGTGGTAACAATGTTTTTGTTTGTATTTAGAGAAAAGTGTTACCGGCTGCCAAGTATAACTACAGGTATGCCAGGTACTACTACAGGTACATAAGACTGAGGTTTTAATGTGACACTGCATAGCAAGGCTTAACTCTGGGGGGGTCATATAACCCATTTCACCTAAGGAAGAAGCACCCTGGGTCAACAGCCTGACAAAAATGGCGTTGTTATTCTACTAGCTCACTGGCCAGGAGGACCAAGATACTGACCTGGTAGGAGGATAAGATGGTGGTGCCGTGACCGGCTGCATGGGGTAGCTCCCAGGTACCTGGGGATAACTGTAGTTACTCTGTCCATATCCTAGGCTGGGCTGGTTGTAACCCCCTGTGCTAGATTGAGGTTGACTAGTCTCAGCGGGTTTGTTACCATCCTGTGGTCTAAAAGGAGAAATAAAAAAGTAAGCCTTTTCCCCTCAACCATAAAACTCCTGGGTAAGAACTCTACAACCTCGGAGCAATGTGCAATGTTAGGACTGAGATTGGAAGTAAACACAATTGTGAAGTGAACTACATCAAACCCAGTCGGTCCAACTGTATTTGCTGGAAGAAGAGGACATGAAAAAAGGAGGAGAATTAGTCACACCCACAGAAGAGATACCAACACGTTCCACATTAACACAGCTATGAAAGGCAGTTACAATATTTTCTGTTGCCAATTTAAGTGGTCTGGGAGGGGAGGTGGTTTGTTAGAAAAATGCTTTTCTTCAAAAAGGGTGTTGTAGACAAACTTTTAACAGTAATGTAGAAGTTTTAGCTTAGAATAACATTTATAGAAGTCACAGCATTTATAAATTTGGATTACTGGATGTTATTTTATGCTTCTCACTTATTAGGAAAAGACCTGATAATACATTTTCCTAACTTGGACTGCCACTAATAAGAACCTAACCTTGCCTGAAAATCTCCATAATGGAAATACCAGAGTAGGGGAGGGACCTGCCCCCCACCAATGCTCAGATGAACTGGGAAGTATTCTTAAACGACAAACCAATCCCAATCCCAAAGGAAAACCAACCAACCAGCCCAGGGTTTTCTATTACCTCTCAGTCCTAAAAGTTTGCAACAAGACAGTAGCAAAGTGAGCTTGAGCTATTTTAAGCAAACCCCCAAGAATCGGCAGGCAGACCAGACAGGATGTGGAAGTACTGCTTTCTCCAAGCTGAAATGGGTCACAAGCCCCCCTCTTTCCAGTAGAAAAAAGAGGAGTAGCTGTCAATGGTCACGAGACAGTTTTAAAGTGGTAAGGATTGAAACTCGAGGGAAAAAAAGGAACCAAAAACAGTAATTTATAAAAACCAATTAATATATTTGCCCCCCACCCCCACCCCACGGCTTGGATATACCATTGCAATGGATCATCAAATGGGACTTTAAACATTTGATAACACTCTGAAATGCCTAGGTCAACTGAAATGGAGCCCTACAAGAATCACTTGAGTTTAACCTAACTACTGCACAGGCTGTCTAGCAGATGTAAACTACCAAGTAGCTCTGATTACTCACTGTGCACATTAGAAGTAATTTCATGAGTGTTTGCCAGAGCTAATTTCTTACCTCTACAGTAGGCAAAAAGTCTAGGTTACAAGTTGATCTTGTTTATTCCCTAAAGTCTTCTTTCAAATCAGAATTCAATGTTCCTTCAAGACTGTATGCAGATGCCACCTATGTGCATTGCCTAAAGCAAAGACCTGAAATCTTCTGTTAAGTAATAATTAATAATGTTTACCTGCTAATTAGTCATGGAGTATGAAATGTGTATGCCCAAATATTCACCCCATAGCAGGGTAACCAGTTAAGAATATATACTTGCCTGTGATATTTAGAGAAACAAGCTACTACACAATACGGAAAAAACCATAGCAATTTCTTCAGCTGAGACACCAGTATAGGACTTCCCACCTCCCCTTTACTGTGAACTGCCATGTTCTTCCCAAAGAGAAAGGCATTACCCATTTACAAGACCAATAAAACTAAAGATAAAAGCATTAACAGTACAATTCTATCAGCTTTGTTGTGAGGGAAACCACACACCTGATTTTTTCCCCCTGGTTTGGTAATAGCCTCCTATCCTAAAAGGTCACTCTTCTGAAACTAGAGCATCAGGCCAGTGACGTTCCTCATCCTGGCCCCTGGAAGGCACCATTTCTCTACTAAATGGAGAACAATGTTATTTGTGGTGTGTTCTAGAGCATTAATGTGAGGACTATAAGCACACAGTCAACATTTAAAAGTATGTTAAGACTAGCCATTAAAAAGGAATGAAATCCTGGACACTCTAAGTGTGCACAGTCGCTCTCTCTACTGTAAATAGGCTGATGCACTGCCGAATCAGAAGTAGGTGAGCGTGGCCTTACCTTGCAGGTGCGGTGGCTGCTGGCTGCTGCCCATAGGTTGGGTAAGCAGGCTGAGTGCCATATGCAGACTGAGCTGCATAGGAGGCCTGGGTGGTAGTGACCGTAGCAGTGGTGGTATCATAAGCACCAGAGCCGTACCCCTGGACAGGCTGGCTGTACGCCTGGGGGGCAGTTGGAGTAGTATAACCTAGAATAAAGGAGAGTTACATCAGATTTCTGGCTCTTCAGAGATCTGCCTAGACACTCATTAACAGAACAATTTGTAAACCACCTACTTTCAACCACAATATTGAACCCCTTAAGTATTTCCAGTTCAGCAACAAGCCAGTATTTAAAGCCTAAGTTCTCTGAAAGTACCCAGTTTTCAGCAAAGCACTCTCCTTTGCTGTACCACTCCTAACAGAAAGGAGGAAATAGGGTGTGTTACAGAAAACAAGGTCCCTGCTGCACCACCCTCCCCCAAGAATGAATAAGTCTGCTTTTGCTAGTTGGCCTTCTTAACAATATTATTGACTAACTAGTTAAGTACCCCAAAAAACTCTCAACCAGGAATAAAACATCCCAGAAAGGGAAAAAACAATGATACATTGCTAAAATAGCTAAAAATAATGATCCAGATAATAGTTTCACCATTAAAACCTGTAATTTGAAATTACTTTGCTTTCAGTCCCAATTATTCCAACACAGGCAGTTCAGGTTTAAGGAAACTGAATCACAGAGAACATGTGTTTAATTTTCAGTGGGAGAGTTTAAGAACTGATTGAACACTCCAAAAAAATACTACTAGTTTCAGGTAACAACTAAAAAGATGTTTGTTACCAGCACCAAATTCTGAAATGGCACTCGAGTAATAAGATACTACAAATTATATTTACTTAAATACAACCAACAAAGATTATCCCATTTGACCTTTCTGATAAATGATTTTAATTTAACTTAATACTCCACAAATAACCTTTAAAAAGGTCAATGTTTTTCACATAATAAAACCACCTGAGATTCCAGGCTTGTCATGGCATTAGCTGCATCCCTTCCTTTCTTTACCAATCACAAGCAAAAAAGGTCTTTTTTTCCTATTCAGCAATACTGGAAGTAGACCCTAGAGTTAGTATCACAAAGACCTGATCTCACAGGGAAGAGACAGACCAAGGAACTAGGTTCTCTCCCTAGTTCCTGCCTCTACCAGACCAGGCAGGATGCAAACCCTTTCATCTAGAATTTGGGCTTGCAGTGTGACAAAAGGCCCCCAAATATGCAACTTCTAACATGAGTCCTCCTCCTGTGAGACATCTTATAACCTTTCCTGGTGCTAAGCTCTTCTGTGACTCCCTCTGAGGTCAATGAGCACAAGTAAGCCACGTAACAAAAAACTGGGGTCTAGTTCTCAGCATTTATATCCACTAAAAAAGTCATCACAAATAAAGTGTAAAAAAAAAAAAAAAGTCTCAGTACTTAAAACAAATCTTGAATTAAAACTGCTCATTTTAGTTAAGATTTCGGGCCTTAAACTTTAAGTGCCCTCACTATACACACAACTTATTAACCAAAAACCAACACCGACTTGCCTCTGTACAATCTAAAGTATCACCTCTTGTTGGACAGACTGTAATAGTTTCTTCTCCATCCCAAACATTTTAGGTAAATTCTGAAATTAACTATACACAAAGATAGTTATTTCCTTCTCCAAAATGCTAGGCTGCAATATATATGAAAACATAATGCACAAAACAGAAAGCTCAAGCAATGGAAGTTTTTTGAGTTGGCATGTCGTCCATCTGCTTATTTAATTTAAAAGTTCTCTGCAGAGTCCTAATGTCAACCATATAAAGCACTCATTTATTTAAATCTAACTGGAATCTATTTCCACCTACCCTATTCCTCCTACACAGATTTTCCCCCCTACATGATGACAGGGCCATCTAGAAGATTCACAAAGGCAAGTAAAAACAACAACAAACTACGAATGCTCAGGGCAACTACAGATGTTCTAAAACTACGCAGTAACTGTTAGAGCCTTGTAGTGCTAACGATTACGGTAGTAGACACTGCGTTAATTAATCTTTAATCTGTAGTACCCACACAAACAGCCAGGCAAATGAGCAAAAATTAATAGGGCAAATGATTTAATGACAATAAAAACGACTGACAGCAAAAAAGACAACACTCTCCTCTGTACTGAGGACTTTAAGGAAAAAGATAGTAAATATTACATAAATCAACCAAAATTTTTATTCAACTTGAATGGTAAAAACTGAAGTTTAGGATTTCTATTCTAATTAACGAAATGGGATTTATATGGCCACTGTTCTTAGAGTTTAATACAAAAACTCTATTAAGAGAAAAGGGTCTTTTCATACATTCCTTCCAGTAACTATTTGAGGACTTCTATGTGTAAAGACAGCATGACGTAAGGAGAGAAGTGTGTCTGAACCCACTTACTACCTGTGAAGGGTCCTAACTTAGTTCGGGTCAGCCTCAGTTTGCTGATCAGGTTTAATTTCGATGTATACACTTCAAAGACCGATGGGAGCACTAAGGGAAGTATAAATAATTCTCCATAAACTATAAAATCCAGACAAACAGTCCTTAAGTGCAATCTCTTGCTCATTAAAGCCACTGGTTTCTGTATCAGAATGTCCAACATTTTTGTGCTCATGGTATAACTTGTTCAATTAATGACGAGAACACGTGACTCTCAAGGACCTAGAAGACTCCTGCCTTTCCTGTAAGTAACATTTATCATGTCCTTATAAAGTTGATCTAGACTCCAAAGGGTAGATCAAAGCTGTATTATTTATTTTCAATGATAGTTGTTTTTAAAATTGAGTGAAGATAGTTAAAAGCTTCTGGTTACAAAATAAATCAATGCCAGGGATGTAATGTACAGCAACCTGACTATAGTTAATAAGCTATACTGTGTATTTCAAAGTTGACTAGATCTTAAATGTTCTCATTGCAAGAAAAAAATTTGAGGACTACAAGTACCAACAGATGTTACGAGAATTACTGTGACAATCATTTCACAACATATACAAATATGGAAACATGTTGTATACCTGAAACCAATGCTGTATGCTTATTATCATCGATAAAAAACTCTAATAGCTTAAATATGTAAAGTTCACCTCATGATTTCAAAATCAAATCTCACGATTCAAACTGCAAGGTTCTAGTTCCAGCTTTTCTTCCAGTACTAACACCAAGAGAATGTGCAAACATCTCTCATGCTATATATATAAGATCTGCATTAGTTACACAGATTAGGAAATTCTTCCCATCAAATCCAGGACACTGTCACTGAACGAGATAAATTACACATATAGGTTTCCCCCTACTAAAGATGGATTAATATAATGGGGAACTAAAAATAGTTGAAAAATTAAGAGTTTTTAAATCTTTAAGACTACTGTATTCAATATTCTCTTATAACAATAAAAGATGAGAGTGGGTGGGTGGGGAGAAGGTAGGGATTCTAAAATGTTATGTGGAAACAATAAACGTAAAAATTCTTGTAAATTTTTCACATATTCCACTCAATCCTAGTATTAGGGTATACTTCGTTCTAATTCTCAAAGCAGTTTATTTTTTAGCTCCTTGGAATCCTATTAAGACATACTATGAATTAAAATAACTCATTAACATTTAAAACAGAAAATAAAATGTGCCTGGATTGGAAACCAACCAAGAGACAAACATTACATGCAGGGTAGCAGTCTGTTCCTCTAAATAAATCTACTCATGCAATCTATTCTTCAGGGAATAGGAGGAAATCAGCTGGGGAATAGTTATCTGAAATACCTTTGGGAAGGTGAGCTATTATTAGGGCCTGACACAAAATAATGTAAAATAAAGCATAACCTTTCCCCAAATCACATAAAGAAAAGGACATGGATCTGAGAATGGCACCTGAAGCAATTTCTCATTAGCACCTTGTTGTGTGTGATGTTAGAAAGTTTGAGGGTTAAACAGATGAAAACACCTAAAGGGTCAACATTACAGGGTTAGACAAGATGGAAAGCATTTCCCATGCAAGAATGAGCAGGATAGTCAAACCTGTACTGGTCCCTTCTACTGTGGAAAGCACAAAACAAAAAGTAGAGGGTACACTATCAGATGAAGCAAACAGATGTGAAAATCAGTTTGATTTTAAGCAGCTCACTTTAAGAAGGCTCATTCTTACCCAGTATTACCATTAGCATAACCTTTTATATATTCTCCATTTTGTTATGAAATTATTCAATACACTGTATGAAATAGTTAACAGAAAATTATCCCACCCACATTCTATTACAGGTCCTTTAGAAGAACGTAAGGGAAAGGAAAAAAAGAGACCAAAAAAAAAGCGCTCCTCCTAAAAATAAAGGATCCCCAGATGCCAAAGTATGGACCAGAATATACAGCATAAGTAACAAGATTCTAAAGACACACCCAGGGGCTATGACCCAAAAGTCTTTCCAAGGCAGACCCTACCAGCAGGAGGCTGTCCATAGGAAGTTGCATAGGCAGTCTGCCCATAGGTCGCAGTGGTCTGAGCCTGGGTATAGCTGACATCAGTGGGCTGTCCATAGGTTCCATAACTTTGCTGCCCATATGCCTGCTCAAAGAAAACGCATGCAAGAAGATCATACATAAACCTTGTATTTTAACAACAAAATGGATTGACTTATTTCTGAGTTTCTAAATTGGGAGAACCAAAGCCAAAAATACCATTTTCTAGTAAAAAGATTGGGAAAAAAAGCAGACAAGTGATTACATTATCACAAATGCTGGTTTTTCCTTTTCTAATTCACTCATATTTTCACAAACCTAACTACAAAAAAGCTCCTGAGATAATTAGGCAAAATCTCAGTTAACATACAGGAGATTACCAAGAGACTCTCAAGGGATGGGCAACAGGGGAACAGGTGTCTAATTGCCAACACTTAGTGCAGCAGTTTTAGCAACTGGAAACAAACGTTAGGAAGACAAAATAAACCAAGGGAAAGGAAAAGAAAATGGGATTAAAATCTTGATTTTAAAACTAGATTTTCAGTCTGACATAAAGATGTAAAAACTATTATATCACTTCAAAATAAAACAAACTAGGGGCGCCTGGGTGGCTTAGTCAGTTAAGCGTCCAACTTTCGCTTAGGTCATGATCTCGCGGTTCGTGGGTTCGAGCCCCGCGTCGGGCTCTGTGCTGACTGCCAGCTCGGAGCCTGGAGCCTGTTTCAGTCTGTGATTCCCTCTCTCTCTAACCCTCCCCTGTTCACGCTGTCTCTCTCTCTCCTAGAAATAAATAAAACATTTAAAAAACAAAAAAACAAAACAAAACAAAAAAAACAAAATAAAACAAACTAGAACACCATGTGTCTCCTTAAGGTTAACATATCAAGGGCAGTCTTTTGAACTTGGGCTTTAGTTAATAATACTTAAAACCTGGCAAGGAATGAGGTATTCTTCCAGATAATAGCAAGATTACATTCTAGATTGAATGACCAATTATGTAAGATATGCCAGGCACTTCACAATCTGTTGTCCTAGAATGTTTCCATAGAAGAGTTATTAGTATCCATTTAATGCCATGGATCATTTCAGAATTTGAAGCCATCTTAAGAACACTAGGATGATAGTTTCTAATACCTGTTGGTCTAGGCTTTTTTTTTTTTTAAACTTTATATTCACTTGAGTTTTTATTATCTAAAAATTTTTTAAAAATATTTTTTGAGAGACAGTGAGACACAGTGAGGGTGGGGGAGGGGCAGAGAGAGGGAAACAACATCTGAAGCTGACTCCAGATTCTGAGCTGTCAGCACAGAGCCCAACATGGGGCTCAAAGTGACTAACTTTAAGATCATGACCTGAGATGAAGTTGGACGCTTAACCAATGAGCCACTCAGGTACCCCAATTTGAGGTTTTTGTTTTTTTGTTTTGAGAGAGAACACAAATGTGTGGGGGTGGGGAGGGTAGAGAGGAAGGGAGACAGAATGTAATGCAGGCTCCAAGCAGTGATGCAGAGCTCGAACTCACAAACCATGAGATCACGACCTGAGGCAAAGTCAGGCACTTAACTGACCAACTGAGTCATCCAGGCACCCCGGCCTCGGCTTTTAAACACAAACTCATGTACTGCAAAGAGCTCAGAGGCTCTGTAACTAAGCAGCCATACACTGTATGAAAGCTGGCAAATGATATATCTATAAACTGCAATTTTTTTTATATCTGCAAAATGTCCTAATAACACCTCCCTCTACAGAACTGCTGTATAATAAAATTAAATTTAAACAGAATACAGTATGTAGAAGGACCAAGCACAAAGTAAGGCACTTAACTTGAGAAATGATCCTAGAAAGGCATGGAGGGCTAACAATTCCCAGTTTGAGAATGGCATCATTTCACTCCCATTGTAAAAGTTTAAAACACCTGGGGGCGCCTGGGTGGCTCAGTCAGTTAAGCGTCCGACTTCGGTTCAGGTCACGATCACACAGTTCGTGGGTTCAAGCCCCGTGTCGGGCTCTGTGCTGACAGCCAGCTCAGAGCCTGGAGCCTGTTTCAGATTCTGTGTCTCCCTCTCTATCTCTGGACCCTCCCCTGCTCACGCTGTTACTCTCTCTCTCTCAGAAATAAATAAAACATTTAAGAAAAAAAGCTTAAAACACCTGGGTATTTTTATGACTACACATACAGTATACTTTTCTATTACAGGATTTTTAAGAAATATCTGTATTATTTGGGGGCACCTGGGTGGTTCAGTCGGTTAAGCTTCCAACTTTGGGTTGGGTCATGATCTTGCAGTTTGTGAGTTTGAGTCCCGCATTGGTCTCTGTGCTGACAGCTCAGAGCCTGGAGCCTGCTTCGGATTCTGTGTCTCCCTCCCTCTCTGACCCTTCCCTGCTCACACTCTGTCTCTCCAAAATGCATAAACGTTAAAAAACATTAAAAAACAAAACAAAAAAAAAGAGTCTTAAAAAAAAACAACGGTATTAGTTATTGCTTTAATGGCTGACAGAAAAATTTTGCTTGGAGATGCAACCATATATAATTATCTTAAAGATTACCTGGGTGGTCTGTGCATATCCTTGAGTGGGCTGGGCGGGGTAAGCACTGTAGCTGTAAGAGAAATTAAATTCAAGAACTGAATATAGAACATTCAGATTCCCTTACAAATTCTCTATAACTCTAGGAGCCTTGGTATTCTAAAAACATTATAATCAATCACACCCAAAGTACTGTTACAGAAGACTGACTTACCCCTGCTGGGCTGCAGCTTGGCTGTAGGTACTGTAATCTAGAGGAAACAAGGAGAGAAAATAAGGTCAAGTCAGCAGAGGAAACAAGAAGGGAAAAAAAGGGGGAAGGAATTAAGGTGGCAGGAAGATAAAAGTCTTTAAACTGTTGAGAGAAAGTACAGGCCAATACAGGTCCCAATGAGTACCTCTTTCCTCTCAACATCAAACCAAAAGTAAGTCTAAGCCAGTTAAACTCAGAAAGTTTGAATATAGTGCCAACTAATGAGATCAGGATCAGCTGATTTGGCAGAGCTACTTTGAAGGTTCCCATGACCAGCCCCTTAAGTGCAGGCTGTCATTTCAAATACAGGATCATCATCCTAAGACTAACAAAAAACACGATGAACCAACAAGATCAGAAGTTTTACCTTCATATAAAAATGAGGCTTGCCACAATATTACGATGGTTAACATCAGAGGGGGTACATTAGTCGCTACATCTCCTCAAAAACTGGTTTTTCTATCACTCCCTATTAGCAGTTACACCAGCCAAAATTGCCTAGCAGGACTGTGACATGGAATGGCAAAAAGGACAGCCATCCCAATCCAGTGTTTTAAAGGCTTTCCTAACTGTATCAGGGCTACATTCGTACACGAAGTCAAAAGCTACATACAATATAAATCCCAGCAGTTAAGACAGAATCTGAAAACTGTCAGAGAAGAAAGCATGGGAGTAATTTGGTTTTAGGTAACATCATCTTTTTAAAACTCAAAAAGATTTAAATTCTAAAGAAAACAAACGAATCCACTTTTCTTCCATTCTCTTTCTACATAATCCTTCCCATAATTTTCCTTTTCATGTGAGATTTACAACATGCACAGAAAGGGACTAAAAAAACTCTGGTCCCCTGAGGTGTCTACAAGTAGTGAAAACAGAAAATAAAATGATTACGAAGTTATCACAGCACTACTTAACTCGACACACATTTATTTCAAAAGTTAATTATTTTTAAACATTCTGCCCAATGCTTTGCTATCCACAGGAAATACTTTTCTTCTTCTATGCCAAGACAGTACTGCCATTAGTACTAAACAAAAGGGTCCTTTCTTTTCCAATCAGAAAGTAGCCCTTCATTTGAAAGCAACAGTGGAGATCTCAGCTCTTCTCGGATGGGCTTCTATCTACCCCACACTCCATCCAAAGCCTGCCTCACAGTCCACCTGGCCTGAGAGCATTTTGCTGATTCCATCTCTCCAGTAGGGTAACCTTTCTACTCTCTACCTTAACTACTTTCCTTCCTCAGTACAGCCTTAACACAGAACCCAGATTCAACATGATCAAATCAAATGCCCAAAGGCTTTGTATAATGAACAAATTGATTTGTTCAAGACGAGCTTAAGGCATTTGAAGGCTAAAACTTAAGCATTTTCAACAGCACAAATCATGCTTTCTATATACTGCATCAAAAATAACTGCAAAAATCACGTCTTCCACGTGGTATTCACAAAACAAACGAAGCATCAAAAATAAAATATTTCAATCTACATTTTGCTGAGGTGTCTTGTGTGAAAAATTATTCTAAATTGCTGACATATAAGTTTAACTTTGAAAAGGACTTTTACACAGAACAGTTATGTAAAACAGAAAACTGGCAAAGCTGATATGGAATAAGGAATGATCTCAGATCAGCATGAAACCAGCCCAATTAGTCCCACGCTGGTGGGCTAAGGGAGGTAGCAAATTTGTTTGCTGAGAACTTACCCATATTTTACCTACATTGTAGGTAAATTTTATGGACTCAAAAAGTTACACAACAGTCAGATTTTTTTTCTTAGCAGTCAGTTATGCTTTGTTTTTAACCCTCAAACATGCAGCCAGAAGACTCCACTAAAAATACAGGACAGGTTGAGGAGATGGGGGCCTGTAGAGTGCTGGCAATGTTTTATTTCTTGGTTTGAATTCTGGTTACTTGGGAGTTTGCATTTTAATTCTTTGTTAAAGTGGACACAGACTTCACTTTTTTATCTGTAACGTACATGAGGGAAAAAAACCCACATCTAACATTACCCAAAGTAGTGACTTTTAGATACTTCAAGGTACTCACTATCCAAACAGTAGAGATTTAGAGCTTCATAGTACATAATGAGTTAAAGTCAGTATGGGGTAATTTTGTGGGAACCAAATACTTTTCTATTCTATAAGGTCAAGAAGTTCAGGGCCCAAGAAGCTCTTAGAAGATCTAACATCACTCCTTCATTTTGAAAGTATGGAAACCAAAGTCATGGATTTAAGATCCTTCATCTGGCCTAATATTGTGTGTCTACATAAAATGCAATTGTAATTCTAATACAGTACATAGAGGTTTCCAAAAAACAGTTTGGGCAAAGTAGACCAGGAAACTGGCATGTGCAGCCACGCAAAAATTTCACCATACACATTGTGACTCGCAACACTTAAACAGGGAAGGGAGAGGAGCACTCCCCCGCTTACAAAATTCAAACACCGCAAGGAAGAGGAAGGTGGAAAAGGCTCTAAGGAAACCACTTTCCACCAGGATGTCTCGGACTGTGGTATTTCAGAGTCCTCTCTTCTATGGGCACTCTGAACCCTGGCACTAACAGGCAGCATTTACCTGCCTGATTACTGATCACGCAACAGGGAAGACTTAAAATTGTCCTTAAGTTGCTGGATTCTGGACCCGTTTCAAATTAAATCTCGGAAGGAACCAGAGCTTTTCCGGTCTTCCCTCCGCTTCTACCGCCGGTTCAAAGGCCGGGTGTTAGAGGGCCTAAGAATACCCCCAGAGGCAAAAATGCCCCACCCTACCAAAAACCGCAGGTTAGTGCACAAACAGGCTACCAACTGCCAGTGATGTTTAGGCTACAAGGTTAAACAACTCACGCATCAAAAGCCACCCTAGATTATCACAGTCGAACTCCCCACCCCCACCCCGGGCTTTCTTTCAAAGTCCAGCGTGCGTCTCCTTTCCCTCTCTTGTATCGGTCCATGAAATAAACAAGGCTCCCAGCTCAACCTAGTGGAATAAACGTGCGAGACGACTGCTTAAGAATAATTCTTGCCGATTTGGACCTTTTGTTTCTCCTAGGTCAAAGAGGCCAGAATTTCCTTTCAGTAGGGATTTCTGGCCTCGCGATCCGGGCTGGTCTTATTATACAACGGACTTCCCTCGGCATTTGTTGAAAAATGGCCCTAGGAAGCCACTTAATTGCTTTTTGAAGAGAAAAGACGGTGGGATTAATAACAGTAAGAAACAAGCTGGGGGGTGGAGGGGTTGCAGCCGCTTGCGAGAAGGTGCTCTGCAGGGGGAAGCCATTCCGCCCAAAGCCCAGTCGGGCAGAAGTTCGGTTTGGGGCTGGAACCCGCCAAGAGGGCAGCTCGACCACACCGGACGCCCCTGCCGACCAAGCCATGACGGGGCGCCTGCTCATAGGTCCGCACCCTTCGGCTCACAAACCCGCGATGCCTTTTTTGTTTGTTTGTTTATGCCCCGGGCTCCTCGGGGAAGCAGAATCGCCCCCCAGATTGAGCCGCCTCCCTAGAAATGGGGGTTGTGAATCACAGAAGCGGCAGCGCTGCGACTTCTTGAGCAGCCGTAGACCGCCCCCCCCCCCCGACCGCGCTCGGGTTTAAGGGTGTCGGACCGGAGGCCTTGCCGAGCCCTACCCCCCATCCCCACGCGGGGGCCCGGAGGCCAAAGGCCCCGCCCACGTGGCGAGCAGCCCGGAGCGCGAGGCCCGACGGCCGCCACACAATGGAGACCGCGGCAGGCCCCGCGCGCACCCGCTGCCGCATGCACCCCGCGCGCCGGGGGCGCCGGAAGATTCCAGAACCGGCCTTCCCGGTGGGGGGAGGGGAGGAGAACGCGGGCCCTCGAGCTCGTCGGGCCACGGAGGATACCTCACACCCTTCTCCGCAACTCTATTCAGTCGTTCCGGCCACCCCCTGAGACAAGCGGCCCCAAATTTGGGTGTCCAGGCCGTCGCCGGCGCGACCGCGGTTCCACCACACTCACCCGTGGACGCCATTTTCTCTCCTTCCTTCTCGTTCTCTCAACGTCCGTCTCCCTCTCGCTTTCCCTCTAGGCGCCGCACTGCGCAGGCGCGAAACCCGCAACCTCGGGCGCTACCATCGGGCCAGGCCACAGGGGTGAGGGAAGGAGGGATGAACCACAGCCTTCTCGTCCTTCTCGCCCGCAACTCTTGTCCTAATGTTCTCTAAAGGGTGCTGGACGTGACGTGCGGGCGAAACTAGCACCGAAGGGTCCGGAGAGGCGGGTGAGCGGGTCTTGGTATCAAGCCGGAGTGATTCTCCGTGCAAGGCTAAGCTGTTTGGAATGGTTGCGTCCACTGGCTCTAGGGACCGTCTCTGAAGAGTCTGCCTTGGAGGGACACGGAAGCCGGCGGGAGGGCTGGGGGAAGGGACCCGGGCCTAGAACAACTGCTGACTAATCGGCGGGCGGCGGGGGACGGGGGGCGGGGGTGGCCCGCCCGCTTCGCCGGGGTCACGCGTCCGAGTGCAAGCCGAATGAGCTCGGGGCTCTCGAGCCTCGCCGGGAAGCCAGAGTCCCCCGACTCCCAGCCGGGGGCCCCCACCTGGCATTCCGGGGGCGGGAGGGGGGGCGGCGCGCTCTGCAGTGAGTACCCGGGACACGTGGCCTGGGCCGGAGGGGGGAGGGGGCCGAGGCCGGTGGGCTAGATCGGAGGTCCGAACGTAGCGCCGGATCCTAAGAGCCCCCCACCCCCGCCCCAGTAACGGTCAAGTTTGAGAATGCCCTTTTAGCACAGCCTCATCCATTACCCATGTTTTTACAGAAGGGGAAACTGAGGCCCAAGGAATTTGTGTACTTTTCCTAACTGACAAAGCTGAACCGACCCACCCCCTGGGACCCTCCACGCTATTGCTCAGAAGAATCTTCCCCGTCCTTGTCTTCTCATTCTGTCCTCCGGGTTTCCTAGTAAGGTAGGCAGGGCCTGTTGGTGCATAGCCCCATTTTATTGATGAAGAGACTGAGGCCCAGAGGATTCTAGTCCCAGTTCTGTTTGTCCATGTGCAAGTCTTTCACCCTTGTAAGGTGCCCATGGATTCGATGGTTGTGAAGGTGAAGGAGGGGGCTTGCGGTGGGTGTCTTGGCTCTGGGCAAGGCTGGCACCTGTCTGCCTTTCTGGACTCAGTCTAGTCTCCCCAAACAGGTGCTCAGGCCCAAGGAAGGGAAGGACTCACCCAAATCTTTCAGCAGGACCTGGAGCCAAGCCAGTGTCTCTCTTTCAGTGAACACATATGGGAAACTTGGGGATGAGTAAGAGGGGGCACTCCACCTGCCCCCTGCTTAGACCATCTGCTCAGGAAAAAAGACAGGCCAAACTGTGCTCACTAGATAGGATAAGATCTATGACCCGTGATGTGGTGGGCCAGGGCAAGGGACAGGGACCCTTGAACTGGACTTCAAGGGGTATATAAGAGTTTGCCTATTGGAGAGATGGGAGGGATAGTGCAGGCAGACGGGCTTTCTACATTTTTCCTGCAGGAAACTTGCAGGAGGATTTTGATACTGAGGTTGCCCTTGGGAAAGGAGCAGATGAAGCACTCTTCTTGCCTCTGGGCTTTTGCTTTCTGCCTCATGAAATCTGCTCACTGGGAGTCTTGACACAGGCTTGGCCAGGGGTGAGGAGGTTTCAGCAAGGCTTGTGCCTTGTGGGCTGGGAATTGGCTTTTTTGAGGGCCAGACTAGACCAGCTAGGCTGGAGCAGCTGCTTCCGTGCTGAGGCCCCCCTTGCTGGCGGCTGGCCATCTCTGCCTCCTCCCACAACTAGCTGGGGTGGCTACAGCAGGAGCTGTGGTCTGGGCCCTGCCTTAGTCCATTCCTTTTTCTCATCCTATGAGGAAAGGATTTTCTTAATCCCCATTTTACAGATGAGGAAGGAGAGGCTCAGAGGATGAAATACTTGTCCAGGAATGCACAGCGGAAGGAGTAGAGGGAATACTGGCACCTTCCTGCAAAAAGGAGGGATAGGGCCAGAGGGGCTGTGCTCAAAGCTGAAGAAAGGGAATGTGTCCTCCTTTGCACTCAGGGTGTGGGACTCTTGCTCCTTACGCAGCCCTTCTGCCTCACCCCCTTCCTAATCCGCCTGCCCATTGGCTGGCCTCACCCCTTGTGTCAAGGGCAGCTGAGCCCCTCTAGAGCTCTAAGGCTGGGCATAGTGGAGGGGAGGGGAGAGGAAGGTGGCTGGTCTGCAACCCAAGAGAAGAGGGAGGCAGAGGAAAGCTGGAGATGGCCCTGAGTTTGTCCTGGGGTGCTGCACCCCTCTTTTGGGAGTCCAGAGTGCCAGCTCAACTCACAGCCCTTTTGGTCTGGCCCCTCCCTACCCTCCCACGGGCAGAAGGGGTGGCAAGATGGCTAAGCACATGGTTAGGGGCCGAGCTCCTCTGTGGTTGAGTTGCTGGGCCTGCCTCTCCAGCTTAAGTTTCTACTTCTGTAAAATGGAGCCGTTGGGAGGGTAGTTGAAAGGAAGTTGGATAAAAATCGCAATAATTACTGTTGTTCTTGTTTTCCTTTTCTCCTAGCACACAGCCCCAAGAACACTCTTGACACCTCCAGCCACGCTATGCAGGCCAGAGGCCGCCCTGGCCTCCCATCCCTGGCGCTGCCTCTCGCCTCCTCCGTTCTGATGCTGCTGCTGAGCAGCCTATGGCTGCTGGGGGCTGGCCCCAGCCTTGTCCTGGCCCCGGAGCTGCTGCTGGACCCTTGGCAGGGTGAGGGCTGGCCCCATGGACCTTGAAAGAGGCAGGAGACTTAGGTAGGGCCTAAGACCAGTTCCCGGGAGTGGCATGCATCGTGCACTGGTCAAGCAGGGAGAGGACCCAGTGCCCCGGGGGAAGGTTGGCCTTGGACAGGAGCATGTCCAGCTCATCCACAGCCCGGAAGGGAGGGCAGAGCACAGGCAGAGGAGCCAGCAGAGCGGTGGGAGCCTGGGAGTAGGTATTCTTTTCAGATGGCTTCCTTTTTTGGTGGTTTTCTCTTAAAATAAGAACTAAGGCCTCCAGCTTAGTCGGGGAATGTTCAGGAGGTTCTGGGAGTCTGAGGAGTGACCCCAGCTGAGTAGTTCCCAGCAGACGTTAAGTGACTCAGCCATGGTTGGGTTGCTGTTGAGAAGACTGAGTGGCGTCGCCAGCATCTTCCTGTTAACGCAGCCGGGGAGCAGCCACAGCATTTAGAAGCCCTTGGTCCCCTTCATGAGTGATTACAGTGCTGGCAGTGGGCAGACTGGCTCCTGGGGAGAGGAGGCTGGCTTAGTGGGTGTGCTACAGAGGGTAACTACCACCCTGGGACAGTCTTGGGACTTAGGGCCGCTAACCTGGCACATAAGCTCCCTCTCTCTCCCAGCGCACCGCCTGCTAACCCACGTCCTGGGCCACATGACCCTACCTGGCCTCCTCCTGAGCCTGCTGCTCCTGCCCACACTGGGCTGGTGGCAGGAGTGCCGCCTGGGCACACTGCGGTTCCTGCATGCCTCTGCCCTGCTTGCCCTGGCTGCTGGGCTAATGGGTGTGCTGCTGGCGGGCCTTGGGGTGTCCCGCGCAGCTGGTGGCTGTGGCTACATGCCCGTCCACCTGGCCATGCTGGCAGGGCAGAGTTACCACCCTAGACAGCCCCAGCAGCTACTGCCACCGCGGTTGCTGCCGTGGTTGCTGCTTGTCTTGACACCAGTGATCAGCTCCGAGCCACCCTTCCTGCAGCTATTGTGCGGCCTCCTTGCTGGCCTGGCCTGTATCCTTTGCCTGGGTCCAGGGCCTGTGTGGACATGTGGGTTGTGTGGCTGGGCCCCCAGAGTGCCTGGGCTGGAAGCAGCACAAGGTGGTCAGGTTCCACAGTAACGGAAAGCTGTGCAAACATATTCTGGGAGCACCTCTGAGCCCTCTTCTGGCCAGACTCTGGGCAGGGGTGCGGCTGAGGGCTAATGGCCAGGTGAAGGCGCCAACTACAATTTAAAGGGGAGCCCGGGAGGGCACAAGTGGCCCAAGGAGCCACCTAACGTGGCCCTCCCCTGTGGAGGGGGCATCTGAACTGAGCTGTGCAGGATGAGGGGTTCGGGGAGTGAAAAAGGGAGCAGGCCAGGCAGAGGGTGCAGGAAGTGCAAGGCCAGGGTGAGAGTGAGCCCCAGGCTCATCACTGAAAGGCAGAACACCTGTGGCTGGTGGTGCAGGTGCATTGAACACAGGCTCTTGCTCCAAAAATGCTTAATGCCTGTTGGGGAAACCGTGCCTTTGGAGGGAACAGTGGCTTTTTAGAATTGCGGACACCAGTTGCCCAGGCCTGGCCGTATCCTGCAGTGGGGAGTATGTTGCCCTGGCTGAGGGCAGTGAGGGGGATGTCAGTGGGTACAAGGGTGGGCCTTGAGTCAGACCTGAAAGGTCTCACAGGGCTCTGGGAACCGAGAAGGCAGGGGATGCCTGAGATGTGGGGAGACACACCTGTCAACCCCCCTTACTGGGTGAGTAGCTTCATGCAGGTCCCTTTTCCTAGAACCTCCACTGCTGACTAGGATGACAACACACCCCTTGCTGGGCCATAGTGAGGAGACGTGAGGGAATGCCTGCCACACACTTGGCCCAGGGCCTGGCGTGCAGTGTGGGCTCACCCCTGGCTGGTTTTGGTTTTCCTTGACCGGCTGCCCTGCCCTGGGCAGACAGATGCAGCTGGAGCCTTCCGGTGGCTGGAGCCCTCTGAGCGGCGGCTGCAAGCATTGCAGGAGGGCGTCCTGTGCAGGGCCCTGGCGGGGTGCTGGCCCGTCAGACTCCTTCCCACCCCAGGTGGCCTGGCCGAGCTGCCGGTCACCCATCCTGCCGGAGTGAGGTGAGAGGGATGCCGATGACAGCGGCCCTGCCGGTGGATGCCGTGTCGGTGGCTGGCAGTCACGCCCTCTTCTACTTCTGCTCCCCCAGGCCTCCCGCCCCTGGACCTCCCTACATGGCCTCCCCTAGCGAAGGCTCAGCCCACCTCCCGCCAGGCCTGGGGCCTGTGCAGCTGACCTGGGAGGGCTCCACAGAGGTGGGCCTGGCCTGGACCGGGCCCATCTTCCGTGCAGGGGCCCCGCTGTGGGCGGCCCTGGAGGAGCAGATGCTGCAGGAGGGGATTCAGGCCTCCCTCCTTGAGAGGCCGGCCCGGTGTCCTGAGGGCCCGCTGTGGCTGTCTAAGTCCTCTGTCTCCTCTCTGCGGTAAGGTGTGTGGGCGGCGGGTGGGGTTCCCTGGTGCAGGAGCTGGAGGTGGCCCTGACATTCCCTGCCTGTCCCCCCATCCCACAGGCTGCAGCAGCTGGAGCGCATGGGCTTCCCCACAGAGCAGGCCGTGGTGGCACTGGCAGCCACGGGCCGAGTGGAGGGTGCTGTGTCCCTACTGGTTGAAGGGGAGGTGGGCACTGAGGCCTTAGTGACTCAGGGGCGGGGCGGGCCCGCCCACCCCAAGGGCCCTGGTCCCCCCTAGCACAGCAGGGTGACAAGGGGCTTAGCCTATGTTTGGGGAGTCAGAGCCCCATCCTTGTCTGCCGAGAGTCACGGTGTGCAGGAGAAGCCCCTCCAGCACCCCACCCTGGCTCTACTCAGAATAAAAACAGTTCATTTTTCAACCTAGACCTCCTCGGGGGCAGCAGTTGTGTCTGACTCTTTTGTGTTGGCAGTAGGGGGACGAATGAATGAGCGGTGAGGGAATGACTGATTTCAGGAGAACAGCTCCCTGATGTGCAGAGACCAGGCTTCCTGTTTAGCCTCTTTCTCAGGAGGCTACGGCCTCCACCTCGGGGCATAGAAGACCCTCTGCAGAGGAGCAATCTTCATCACTGGTTTCCCAGCTACTTTCTACCCAGCCTTAGGTCTCAGCCTACACGGGGACCTTCCTCCAGGAATGCTTCCCTGATTCCCCTGGAATATCATCCCTTCGCTGCCCACACCCCCCAGTGACCCTACTGGACAGGGGCCAGTTCAGTTGGTCTCCTGAGGCTCTGGAGCTGGTGGCTGTGCCCTGCCAAGCTCCCCGCGCAGGAAACAATGTGAGGTTGCCAAGGGGGAGAGGCTGCCTAAGCTTTGAGGAGGCAGCTCCTCCCTCCTGGCCCCCTTCAGTCCTTGACCCCTTCCCAGCAAGGGGAGGTGCAGACTGAGCCAGAGGGTGGTGGGGCACGGGTGTGAGATGCCGCTGGGCTGTGGGGGGAGGTGAGGCCAAGGGGTGCCTGGGAAGCTGGACTTTGATGGGAGGGGCAGGGAACTGTGTGTCCTGGGGCAGCCTACACACTGGTCGCCTGAGTGGGCTGTACCCCATGCTGGAGCCAGAGGGAAGAGGCTGTAGAGACCGGCTCTGCTGTTGGCCACAGGCAAGGGGCCAGAAACAGACCCAAGTTCATGCTGTTCTTTTATGGGTGAGGAAACAGACTTGGGGTGACTCTGTGGTGCCCCAATCTGGAAGCTGCCCCAAGGTCTGGCACTTCCTTACTCTCTGGGCCTTTCAGGAGCTGTAGCTGTTGCTGGACACCTGGCCAGGGGATGGGGATGGTCTGAGCCTCTGCTCTGCTCACCTACCTCTGTGCACCCCCTGCCCGGCAGCACCTTGACCCCCCTGAGCCCTGTGCAGGCCCACTTCACAGCCCTGCTTTGCATGTGAGCAGGGAAAGGCCATCAAGAAGAAGGAAGAGGCTCCTGGCCCTGCCCAGCTGCACCCCGTCTAAGCACACACTGAGACCAGGCCAGTGGGACTTCAGGTTGGGGGACTTTATTGGCGGGAGATCTCTACCTCCAGGGCACCCCTCCCTCTCCATGCCTCCACCCCCACCTGGGACATGGGAGGGGCTGGGGGCTCAGGGGGCAGGACCTATGGCACGTCCTGCCTGTTGGACTCAGGGTGGGGACCCAGCACCAGAAATCAAGGAGAGGAGGGCTGCGATGGGCTCCCCGGGTTTGGCTGGGGAGGAGGGAGAGGGAAGCCTGCCCTTCCCCACCAGCCCCGCATGTGCTAAGGACTCAGCAGAACCCCGGCTCCAGTCACCCATCAGTGCCTACAGGTCTGGATGCCTGGGCAGCCCATGAGAAGACCCAAGTCTTGAACCTGCTAGCCCTTCCCCGCAGGCTGGCATCATCCCGTTTCACAGAGGGAAAGGGAGTCCCTGGGCCCTCACCTATGCCTGGGCTGCCCCTCCCACTCAGGCCACAGTCCCTTCTCAGCTTCATAGTAGGCAGACTTGCACGGGGTGTCAGGACCAAGACTTGCCCATCCCAAAGGCTTAGGTGGCAGAAGGGACCCTGAGGACATTAATAAATATGGTGGGCGGTCCCTGGAGGCAGTTGGCCAAGTCCAGTCTGGGAAGGGAAGCTAGGCCAGGTCTGCCCCTAGGGCCACCCCTGCCCTCAGCCTCTCTCGTTGCGGCTCCTGGGGGCCACGATCCGGTAGTTGGCCGTGTGTCCTCCCCTCTTGCCCCGCAGGAGGCTGGGGGTGCCTGTGCCGGCAGGGCCTGTCCCCGACCCCTCTGGTTCTGCCGGAGGGAAGGAGAGAGTCAGGGTTAGTGAGATCTGTGTGAGGTGCCCATCTCCCTTCGGCCCTCTGGGGGCTGGGGGGCTGGGCACTGCCCTGGCATCTGGGAGGCAGAGCTGTGAGAAAGGGTAGTTTGCAGGCTGGTTAGTGTCTCCCCTTACCCCCCTGGAGTTAGCAGTTCCCAACCTAATGAGAGCACTCAGGGCGTCTGTCAAGCGGGGGTAAATGAACTGGCCATGTTTCTGAAATGTGGAGCACGTGGTGAACAAATGGTCCATACAAGTATAGTTCTTTTCCACATTTTGGAATATAGGTGTGTCCTGAATCATCCTAATTTCATAGCTAGGTAAACTAAGGTCAGAGAACAGACTCAGGCCATCTGTGGTGGGGAAGAGTTTAGGAAGGCCAGGCTCTGCCACTGACCTGTGCATCTTTGGGCAAGTCTAACCTCTGTCAGGGCCTCAGTTGTCTCATCTCTAAAACTGGGGGGGGGGGGGGGGGGGGGGGGGGGGGGGGGGGGGGGGGGGGGAGGGGCGGAGTTCCAGATATACTGAGGTCCTGACCAGCTTCAATAATTATTTAAATCAGTTCTAATTTGGCTATGGTGAAATATGCCCCAACCTGGAAATAAGGTATCCCCCAAGAGTGAAACAATAATTGGCATTTTTGCCAACTGGGAAACTCCTACTTATCCTTCAAAATCCAGAGGAAGGCGTCTCTCCTCCAGGAAGCCTTCTGCCACTAGCACTCTAGTCCCTCTCTAAGTTAAATAGGTAGGTCAGGTAGGGCTATTTTCCCAGGGGGAGAGGAACACCCAAGGAACGGAGCCCCAGGGTGGGAGACTTGGCTGAGCCTCCAAAGTCCTGTTCAAAGGGACAGACACTGGGACTCTGGTGAGCACCAGCTTCCCACAGGGCACTGCCAGGGGAGTGGGCTATACCTTCATAATCATAACTGTCTAGCACCCTGACCTTGTGTGCCCCAGCCTCCCATGCACGTCTGGGCTGACATCTGGGGCCTCTGAGACAGATTTGTGTGTGCTCACAGTCAAGGGAGATTTGATGCCCTAAATTGGGGAACATAGGAGGAGAGGAGCACAGAGCTCAGGCTCTAACATCAGCTATGGCCAAGTCCTATACCAAGTGTTGAACCTTTGAGCTGCATCTGCAACGTGGGGATAATACTGTGTCACACCCTTGCGGTGAGTGTTTTAAGGTGTTCAGGAGTGGAAAGTGGTTTTCACAGTAAATGCTGGATTATTATGGTCACTGGATGAGTTTTCGACCCAGGTCTCTGGCAGGCCAACTCATCTCATGAGTTGCCCATGAGATGCTATTCTGACTCAATCAAATTCAGGGCCCTTGGTTTCCCCTGGTCCCACTCAGTGCTTGGCAGAACAGAGGTGTCAGTGAACTTTTGTTGATGGAGCAAAAGGAGCCAGTGCTTTAAAGGACAGACCCCTGGCCTCACCACTACTACTGCTATGACCCTGAGGAAATCATGTGAGCTCTCTGAACCTCAGTTTCTTCATCTGTGAAATGGGCATGGTATGGCCCCCCTGGCAAACTTGTTATAGAGACTGGATGTAAATCCCCAGCCCAGGAGGCTGGATGTGTGACAGCTGTTACTATCTCATTATTGATTATAACCTAAACATGAGCCCTATCTCAGTTTTTAGTCAGCACCTGCTGTGTATGATGGATAAGGGGAAAGTTCCTTCTTCACTGCTCCACTCCTCCCTCACCCCCTCTTCCAGGCCCACCATCCAAGCTTGCTTGTGGGGTCACTCCCCCAGGCTTGTGGCCACAGAGAGTGGGCGCAGGCTTTCTAAGGTGACCAGCACTCCCTCCCTGGGCTGCTGGAAACAGGGGACTAAAGTACGGGTAGGGCTTCAAGGCTACAGTGTGTCCCTTCTGGTTCCTGTCCCTATCCTCCTGAGAGGGGGGTGCAGAGACACCTGAAAAAGGTGCGGAGAGCCTGGGATTTGGTTCTCGGTCTTGAACCTGTGGCAGGGCAGGAGGTCTGAGAGATGGTCACTGATGTTTCTAAAAGTTAGAGAAGCCGTGCGGCAAGGCAGAGGGGCTTTGGAAGCAGACCGCATGCCCCTTGCAGTCTCCAGGCCTTTGTCCATGCAGAACTCTGTCAAGGCCACCCTTTCTACCTTCTTGTAGGGATTTTCCATGACCCAATGCAAATGGCCCCTTTCCAGGAAGGCTTCTCCAACTCATAGCTGGAAGTGATTGCCACTCACCCACATCCCTGTACCCCGTGGCCCTCATCTCTGTAGACACTGAGGATCCCCCATCACTTGGATGGACACAGAGCATTGGGCCAGAGCTGGCACTCAGTAGATGTGCCCTATGGTTTTGCAGGAGGCTTGGCTGTATCCCTGGCCCTCCTTCCTGCTCGGGGCCTCTGTTTCCTCATCTGTAAAATAGATGTGAAGTTGGACATGGTGTCTGAGGCCCATGTGCACTGACATACTAGGACTGGGCTGTGATATGGGGTCGTTGGTGGCCCATGCCCCACCCTGGACATGCACCTGCAGCCCCGCATCACTTGTCACAACCCAGGTGGCCGGAGGTGGGAGAAGGATGGCCATGGGTGCCTCTTAGTGTTAGGTGAGGACCAGAGCTCAGCCCCGAGGGTAGCCAATCCCTGCGTCTCTCGAGGGCCACCCTCCTTTGCCCCACTGTGACAAGCCAGGCACAGGGAGAGGTACTGCCCATTTGGTGTCTAACCTCCTTCCATGCTTTCTACCTCCTTTCAAGGGCCTTCTCAAACTGGGCCCTGCCAGATTCTCCAGCCTCACCTATCACTCCTTAGCAACCTCACAGAATGGGCCTCTTGGCTTTTGCCCATGCTGTTCCTGTGCCCGTTTACTTGCCCCGATCCTTCCTCTTCAGGTCTCCACTTAGATGACACCTCCTCCAGGAAGCCCTCCCTGAGATGCCTTCCCCCACTCCCCAGCCTGGGTCAGGGGCACTTCCGTGCTGTCACAGTACTCACTCCACCATGGTATTCCTCACCCTGGGTCTAGCAGCCCATTCCAGGACAACCCCTGTGTCCCAGCACCCTGTATGCCATGAGAGCAGGACTATGTCTTATCTGGGAGCCTGTGGCAGATAAGGGTGTCAGGCACCATCTGCTGGCTGGCTGGAAGGGCTAAAGGAGGGGTGTCCGCTCGCCTGGGTCCAGCAGTGGGAGGTGACTTCTGTGTCCCTAGGCCCTTCCTGGAAGGGGCTGCCCCTACCTGCCCGCCCTGCCATTACCTGGCCAGATGATGGCTTCCAGCAGGGTGACTCGTCTGGCCAGGAGCTCCAGCTGAGCCTGCTGCTGCAGGAAGCTCTGTAAGCTAGGAGCCTGATGGGAGATCAAGAAGAGCAGACGGTGCGAGTCCGGCCTCCGAGGGCTGGCCTGGGGAGCCGAGGGTGGGGTGTAGGGGCTAGGCACCCACCAGCTTCGAGGCAGGGGCCTGGGTGTGAGTCTCTATCGAGACCTCGGTCTCCCCTTCTAACTGGGGATGGGGCTTGCCTGGCTCCTCAAATGACCAGATGGGCGGAGAAACTGGTGGGTGAGTGCCTGGGGTGACGGTCTGGCTCTCTCCAGCCCCTAAATGGACCTGAAGGACACATTAGGAGGACCAGAGGAGGAACTGTAAGGTAGACGCCTGGGGCTAGGAAGGCCTGCCCTATGAGAGCCTCTGGGGGCTCCTGGGAGAGGGGCGGTCAGAACTGGTGGGTGGTATATTACCTGGAGTACTGCGGGGACTGAGCCTGGCTTCGTTACCCACAGTCCCATGCACTTCTGGAGTCAAGTTCCATGACCTATTGTCCTGTGGCTTGGGGACTGGCTTTCTTACCCACTATTTCTCTAGACCTGAATGAAGCCTGGCTGGAGTCTGGATTCCTTACCCAGAACTCTCCTGTGGGTCTGGACTCTGACTTTATTACCCACAATCCCCTGCTCTGCAGCAGTCTGGCTCTGTTACCCACAATCCCCTACTGTCTGGAGTTTGGCTCCACGGCCCCTAATTTCTTCCAAACTCAAAATCTGTCACCTCTGCTTCCCCTGCAGGCCTGGAACCGTATTACCCACAATGCCTGGAGGCCCAGTCTGACCACAGAGGTGGGGGCCCAGGTTTCTAGGGCCCCCTTTCACCTGTGGAGGAGGGACCAGCCATTGAGGGATGGGTGGCCTCGTTCTCTCACGTCCTCACCTGCCTGGGGCAGGCACCTTCTCCAGCCTCATGGCTGGGTCCAGGCAGCTCCACCCCTGGAGGGCCTGGGGAAGGCTGGCGGGTGGGGGCTGGGCTGTCTGTCCGTCTGTCTGTCTCTACTCACCATAGAGCCCAATCATTGTTTCCAAGATTAAAACCCTCTCAGCTAAAATCTTCAAAGCCTCGCGTAGTTGGTGCAACCCCTCCCCCTGCGGAGGAAAGAGACAGATGCAGCCGTGAAGAGGGCAAGGGAGGGGGTCCTGCAAAGCTCTTTGGTGGCCCATGCCCCACCCTGGACATGCACCTGCAGCCCGCACCACCTGCCACAACCCAGGGCCCGCGGACAGCCAGGGTAAGACCGATAAGACCGATAAGACCGGGAGAGGACAGGGCGGGGGAGGGGCAAGACAGGTGGAAGCAGACCCCTCCATAAGTCCTGATGGGTCCCAGCTGGCTGCTCTCTGCCCACACCCCTGCACATCTGCTGCACTGGGGGCAGGGTGATGTCAGTCCACAGGGGCCCTACTGCCCTCCCAGAGCCTGCCTTGGAGTCTGCCCTGGAGGTTGTCACGGGGCACCCCCAAACCTCTGTTGCCTGACACCTGCATGATTCCTGCCACACCCCTGGGCCACCTGTACTCTTGTTTACTTTATGTTCTTTAAACTGACTTTTTGCCTTAATGCTACATTAACCTCACTCTAACGAATTCCATCAGTGGGATCAGGCTCCTTACTGACTTTCTTTCCATTAACATCAAAATGAATATAGGCAAGGAAAATTAGAAAACGTTTGAGTGGCATCACTTTGGGGAAGTTGTGCTTAACACGTTGGAAAAGCTGAGGCTCAGGCTCAGGCGTCCACTCCTCAGCCCTTCTCACTTTGGGCTCAATCCCCCCCCCCCGCCCACCCCCCACCCAGGCTCTGACTATTCCAAGTCCGGGTTCTGCACGTCCTGGAGTCAGGCCCCCAGCCCCACCCTCCCTTCGATGCAGCATCTCTAGGTCTGTAGCCCCCAGGCCCAGGGATGTGGCAGTGGACCCCCAGAGCCCCTGGCCCAGGTCTCCCCACTCCGAGATAGTGTCGGCTGCTACCCAGGGCTCAGGCTGACCCTCACCTTCACTCTCAGTTTGTCTGTCTGTCCTTTCCTTCCCCAGCATGAGGGCCATAGTCTGGCTGAAATTCCACACTCCCTCACTCCTTCCTCTTTCCTAGTCCAGACTAAAGCCATTTCCGGAATGCCGATATCTTAATTCCAACAGAGCACCCCAGGACAGCAAAGAGGACTACTCTAGCCCTCACATCTCTGGGAGTCTCTCTCAGTGTCCTTTACTCGGTACCAATTAAGTGAAGGGATGGGGGAGCATATGCATATTGCTACAATTGAAATCCAAGGTCTAACAACTGAGAGACCCCCCAACACGTCCGTGAGCCTGCTGTGGCCTTGCTGGGGCTGTCCATTATAACCCAGCTGTCCTGTCCACATCACAAGGGTTGGGCCACCCTCAGGCCACTGACTGGACGTTACAGCCTAAGGGTCAGAGTCACCATGGGTGGCACACCAAAGTAATCCCTCTTCGAGTATTACAAGAGCAGGATCTAAAAATGGATGACCTTCAAAAACCATGTTAAGCCCCTCCCGGCATGGACAGTGGGACAAGCTGACCTCATGAACTGCCTGATAAGATGCAATAAAAGGGCACTAGATCCCCCACCAGTGCTCCTGCCAAAAACATTTAACTGCATCTCACCGCAAGGAAACAATCAGACAAATCTAGATAGATGGGAGGACACTCACAAAAAGACAGTCAAGAGAAAGAAGAAAAGGACAGGGACTGTTCTAGATTAAAAGGCGCTAGAGTTATAACAACCAAATGCAGTGCATGAATCTTGATGAGTTCTCAGATTAAAAAAAATAACAGCTAAAAAAAGGCATTTTGGGGACAACTGGTAAAATTTGTACGTAAGTTCAATGACACATAACTTTAGACCATCATTTCACTGAATCAATGTCAGCTTTCTTAGGCGAGATGCTGCTATTGGGGCTTTTTGGGAGCATGTCCACATTGTTTTGAGATACACACTGATGTGTTGGGGGAAATGGATGAGATTTGCAACTTACTTTCAAATAGATTTTTTTTTAAGTCTGTAAATATAGTAAAGAGAGAAAGAGCAAATGTGCCAAAATACTAATAGTTGGTCTAGTGAGTGGACGGCAGGAGGGTATTCGTTCTGGATTTTCCTGCATGTTTGAAAATCTTCATAGTGAAAATTGGAGGAAAACGCATAAAACAAAATTCCTGCTATTTGGATCCCTTCCAAGAGGAGACGCCTTTTGTTTGTACTGGTAACACCGCAGTCCCCTCTGATCCCGGACTGGGCATTCAAGGCCTGCTGGACACCCTGTGCTCAACTTCACACCGGACACCTCCCATGTTCCACGGACAGAACCCAGGGGGCTTCTCCTTATTCTCTACTATGTAAGTTGCCTTAACTTCTCGCTCCCCTTCATGGCCAAACCAGCACCTAGTCTCCGTTAGTCCACTGACATCCATCCATCCTCATGGCCCTCCTTCCAGTCCCGGCTCCCAGGGGCTCTTGCCAGGAAGACCACAACAGACTCCCCGTCTCTCTTTCTGCTTCTCCCATGTTGTCCCCTTCTCCCATCCCTTCTCCGCATGGCAGTCAGAGGGACGGTTTGCAAACAGAAATCTGACTGTATCCCTTTCCTGCTGTTAAATACTTCAGTGACTCTCCACTGTCCACAGAATGAAGTTCAAATTCCTCAATATGGCCTCCTAAGTCTCGCAAGCCTATTTGACCTCCGTCTCACCCCTTGACTGTCACACTGTACCATGCCAAGTATTTGCAGCTCCTTGGCTACCCTGGGCTCACTCCAGCCCCAAGGCCTTTGTTCATGGTGTTCCCGCTCCTCTGCCTGAACACCCTTTGCTTGATTAATGCATCTTTTGGGCCTCAGCTCCCATCTTTCCTTCCAGGAGGACGCTAAATCCTCCCCCGTCACAGCTGAGCTCCCTCTGTCCTGTTGCTGCTGTTACTGGTCTGTTTCCCCCCTCCCCCTTCCCACTGTGACCACTTTGAGGGTGGGGATGGTGGTCCAAATCACATCTATGTCCACAGTGCCCAGCCTGGGGTTTGGCACGCACTGAGGAAGGGATGGTTTCCCTGGTCCTGGTAGCTGAAAACCCTGGGTTTCAGTTCCAGCTCTGCCAACAATTTGCTCTGCGGAGTTGGGCCTCAGTTTTTCCTGTCTGAATAAGGGGTACGAGCTTTGGTCTAGATGGGCTGGCTGGGGCAGTGCCTGCACTTTATGCTCATGACCACTGGGTGTCACTGCAGAGCTGCAGTCAGATAAGTGGCTCAGGTCTACCTGGGGGTGGTAGGTGGAGAATGGTCTCTCAGGGCCCCTCTCCACACTGGGCCTCATCCCCACCTACCCCCAACAGAGCTGGTCCCCCAGTCCCCAAAGCCTCATGCTGACCCCAGCCCAGCAGGCCCCCCTCAGGCAGGCAGCAAGCAGGGGCAGAAGTATAGGTGGGCGACAGGGAGGAAGTAGGATGGGCAAGGGCCCTGCTACCTCTTGGGCGACCCCTCCCACAGGTGGTCCTGAGTTCAAGACCTGGTCTGGGCCAGTTCAGGCATCCATTCTCCTCCCAGAATTCCATGCATGGGTGAAGCTGCGTAACCTAGTTCAGCCTCACTTCACTTCCCCCACCTCCCCTGGGCTGAGTAGAGAACACGTTCTCAGAGTGGAGGTGGCCAGTGATGGGCCCAGGGGAGGCAGAGGGCTTGGCTCACATGGGTCTACTTGACCCCAGGCCCGGCTCATGCCCCTGTTGGTAGTATGCTTACGAGACTCCGGAGCTACTAGGGGATGAAGGGGGGGTGGGGGGTGTTGAGTAGAGTGACAGCAAGGGGCTGGAGGAGGTTTGCCGAGAGGTAGCAGGGCCCCAGAAGTCACGGGAAGACATAGGGAAGGGCTCGTGCAGGGTGAGGGGCTCCCACGGCTGTATCCATCACTGACCCCACAATCAGGAGCAGAGAGGGCAAGGCAGGCGCTGGGTGCCTCCCATGTCCTCATTAACTAGTACCTGCTGGGAAGTAGGGCACCCCAGCCAGACTGCACCCAGACGGGGTTGGGGCAAAGGGAGGCATGATACCAGTCTCCTGAAGAGCTTCCCGGTTTTCTCTCCTGTAGGCGTGTCTGCCTCCACCGTGTCCATTTTCCAAATGTCTATGTCACAGTGGTTTCCAGGTCCCTGCATTGTGGGGCTTTTGGTCCTCTCCCCATGTATCTCTTGGGTGGGTCAATTTCTAGGCCTGGGAATTCATTCACTGCAACCATCAGCAATGAATGTAAAGGTCTCTAGGGTCCCCCTGTGGTTTCTGGGTTTCTCTAGGGTCCCCCTGTGGTTTCCAGGTTTCCATATATGCTACGTCTTCTGTGTATGTGACAGTTTCTAGGCCTTCCTTTTCAATCTTCGCGGGCTTCCTTTGTGTACAGTGGGTTTTAGATGGCCTCATCTCATTTTCCATGGTTCTCCCATGCATGATAGCTTCTAGGCCTCTCCTTCCACTCCCCCGGGTATGTATGTAATAGTGTCTAGGACCTCGTGTTAATTACAGGTCTTTTAAGAATAGTGGAGTCTAGGTCCCCTGATCTCATTTACCATGTTCGATATATACATAATGGTTTCTAGGTCTCCCTTCCGGTGCTCCATGGGTTTCCTGTGTTTATGGTGGTATCTAGGTCCCCTATCCCTTTTACCACGGGGCCCCTCACCATTTCTATGCCTCCCTTCCTATGCTTCACAGATTTCTCAAGGCCCCCAGTCCCATTCTTTTGTGTGGATATTGTCTTCATGCCTCCCTTTCTTCTGCAGACAAAGGAGCAGAAGCCAAGGCCCTTGCTGGGAAGGGACTATGGAGGCAGAGGATGCAGTCTGGACGGGGTCAGCCCAAACTACGCAGGAGGAGCAGGCAGGGTCACCCTGGCTCGGAAAGGCCACAGAGGGAAGGCGGAGACAGGGACGAAGACAGAGACAGAGAGCATGGGGTCTGCTGATAAGGCTGGCCCTGTCCGGCTGGGAGGGACAGGCTGGGGAGGGGGCTAGAGCTGAGATCTGTCAGGCCTCCTTCCTAGGAGACCAGGTTGGAGTGGGGATTTGGATGAGGTGCCCCCCACTCCTAATGATCTCCTGAGTGCTCAGGGCAGGAAGGGGCAGTGGGAAGGCAGTGCTCGGCTGGAGCTTACCCAGTGGCTCTTCTCGCCAGGGTCTCCTTTGGGGCCAGGTTCTCCCTGCAAGGAGAGAGAGAGGTAGAAGCAATGAGAGAGGGAAGGAGGGAGAGTGGGAAAAGGAAGGGGGGGAGGAGGGGGGGAAAGCGGGAAGGAGAGACTGGAAGAAGCCAGAAGGCTGAGAGAGACAGAGAGTGGCTTGTATTGGACTAACACCAGATTAAATGCAAAAAACAAACAAACTACTAAACAAATAACAACAACAACACACACACACACACAGTGATATGAAGACAATGGAACGTTATAAAGAGCAGCCAGAAACTGGAGGCTATTTGACTTCTGAAAGGAGGGAGCTACAGCTGGGTAAAAAATAAATGCTCATGGTGTTTCCTCTGAGGGCACACCCCAGCCCCATCAGCCTGGCAAATAGCTCAAGCAGAAAGCTTTATAGTCTTATTGAGCTGAAGAATCACAGGCTGGAGTTGAGACTGCCACAGGAGACAGAAATTGAGAGGAAATACTGGAAAGCAGGGAGCCACAGCAAGGGAGTGAAAGCTATATAAATACCTCCCTCCAATGCTTGGATGGCCCATGAACTACCCATCCTAAAGTCACAAGCTGAGTTCAACCCACACGCTGGACCAAAAATCAACACTCTTCAGAGGAAGATAATAGAACCCAGATTCTCTTTACTCTATTATCTATATTGGCCAGTATGCAATAATAATTACTAGATATGTGAAGAAACAGGAAAATGTGACCCACAATCAAGAGAAAAATAAGTCAGTAGAAACAGATCCACAGCCAACCCAGATTTGGGGTTTAGTAGACACAAAGTTTAAAATATCTGTGATATTTATCATCAAGGAAATCCAGGGGCACCTGGGTGGCTCAGTTGGGTAAGCATCTGACTCTTGATTTCAGTTCAGGTCATGATCTTATGGTTCATGGGATCTAGCCTCATATCAGGCTCTGTTTTGACAGCATGGAACTTGCTTGGGATTCCCTCTCTCTCTCCTCTCTTTCTGCCCCTCCCACCTTTTGCACTCCCTCTCTCAAAATAAATAAACATTAAAAATAAAAATTAAAAATAGGGGCACCTGGGTGGCTTAGTCGGTTGAGCATCTGACTTCAGCTTTGGTCATAATCTCATGGTTTGTGGGTTCAAGCCCCCTATTGGGCTCTGTGCTGACAGCTCAGAGCCTGGAGCCTGCTTCACATTCTGTGTCTCTCTTCCTGCCCCACTCCTGCTTATGCTCTCTCTCCCTCTCTCTCAAAAATAAATAAACATTTAAAAAAAAGGCATCTTCTCTAAAAAATAAATAATAAAATATCTGTGATATTTATCATCAGGGAAATCCAAATCAAAACTACAATGAGATACCACCTCACACCTGTCAGAATGGCTAAAAACAACACAAGAAAAAACAGGTGTTGGTGAGGATGCAGAGAAAGGGGAACCCCCTTACACTATTGGTGGGAATGCAAATTGGTGCAGCCACTCTAGAAAACAGTATGTAGGTTCCTCAAAAATTTAAAAATAGAACTACCCTATGATCCAGCAATTGCACTACTGAGTATTTACCCAAAGAATACAAAAATGCTAATCCAAAGGGATACATGTATCCTGATATTTACAGCAGCATTATCTACAACAGCCAAGTTATGGAAATAGCCTGAGAGTCCACTGATTGATGAATGGATAAAGAAGATGTGGTATATGCATACAATGGAATATTATTCAGTCATAAGAAGAATGAAATCTTGCCATTTGCAATGACATGGATGAGCTAGAGAATATAATGCTAAGTGAAATAAGTCAGCCAGCAAAAGACAAATATGATATCACTCACATGTAGAATTTAAGAAACAAAACAAATGAGCAACAGGGAAAAAAGAGAGAGAAGTGGAGGGGGGCAAACTAAGAAACAGACTCTTAACTATAGAGAACAGACTGATGGTTGCCAGGGGGGAGTGGGGGGGGGGTTTGGGTGAAATAGGGGATGGGGATTAGGAGTGCACCTGTTTGGATGAGCACCAGGTGGTTCATGGAAGTGCTGTATCACTATATTGTACACCTGAAACTAATACACTGGAAACTAATATTACACTGGATGGAATTTAAATACAAACTTAAAGTATCTGTGATAAATATGTTAAAGAATGTAGTGGAATTAATATAATAGTGGTGAGGTGTGGAGTTTCAGATCTGTGAATACTGTAAAAAAGCAACAGATGGAAATCCTGGAGATGAAAAGGATAATACTTGAAAGAAAAAATGCAGTAGCTGAGATTAACAGAAGAAAGAATTAGTTAACTTGAAGACAGGTCAAGACAATAAATAACTCAAACTGAAGTGCAAAGAGATAAAAGATTTAAAAAAAAGTTAACAGAGCCTCAGTGACTTATGAGAGAGTATTAAGTAATAATTGGGGTCGCAAAAGGAGAGAAGGGAGTACAGAAACAGAAAAAATGTTGGAGAAATATTAACCAAAAATTTCCCCCAAAGTTGATTAAAAACAAAACAAAACAGATTTTTTTGTTTCTGGTATGGTACATAAGGAGCTCAGAAATCACCATTCTGTCCTAATAACAAGTAAAACACTGAGAATATTGAAAAATCAACAATTCCTCTAAAGCCATCAAAGACATGAGGTCACGGAACAAAGCACTGGCCCCCAAACTGCAGAGAGAGAGAGAAGTGGGTTACAATTTACTGAGCAGATGCCTCCCTAGGAACCAGCACCAGGGTAGGAAAACTCAAATGTAATTGACAAATTGCTGGTGGCTCTACGCGGACAACTCTGAGAGTTAAACATTCCAGAGGGTCCCGGGTTTTGGAGAATATTCACACCTGTGTGTGTTTTACCCAAGATCTCTGTCAGGTCCTTACAGTGAATGCTATAGAAAAATCTCCTCGTGCTTTCAGCAGCAGGAAGGGGGAAACGTACCACCTTGAAACATACCAGAGCATTCTGTTCTTCTCAGCAAGGTCTGCCTTCAGGAGAAACTATTTTATCAGAGCCTAACCTGCTGGGGTCTTAGCAGAGCCTAACTGACCTGAAGAGAGGGAAATACCCAACTATAGCTGGCGTTAGCCTTACGCGTAGGGGAAGAGAAATATCCCAGCTCAGTCTCTAGCCATCTTGTCCCACCTGAGGGAAAATTAAAAGACAACAACAACAAAATTAAGAGGCACTGGTGAAGTTCACAGTGCAGGGACATAGGCTTACCAAAAGACTGAGACCTAACCATGGGACTACAGAATGCCTCCTCTCACCACACAGCTTACCTCTACATTACTCTTTACTGGAGTAAAGAGGCCTTTCACCCAGTACAACATGTCTACCTTCTAACCAAAAATTACAAGGCATACTAAAAGGCAAAAAACAGTTTTTAAAAGAGTGAGCAAGTATCAGAACTAGAGCCAAATATAGCATGGAGGTTGGAATTATTAGACCAGGAATTAGCAAAAACCTCCCTATGATTAATATTCTAAATTAAATTTCCATTCATTTTAATGGAAAGAAAACATGGACAACATGAGCAGAGGGATAAAATTGCTAAGAATCAAAAACAAATGCTAGATTTCAGTCAAAGGTCCTCTTCATAGAGTCGGTTAGTAATCACATTTTTCCCATTTAAGTATTAAGAAATACTTAAATCCTCAAGGCACCTGTGTCGCTCAGTCAGTTTAGTGTTTGACTCTTGATTTCGGCTCAGGTCATGATCCCAGGGTTGTGGGATTGAGCCCTGTGTCAGGCTCCTCGCTGAGCTCGGAGACTGCTTAAGACTCTCTCTCTCTCTCTCTCTCTCTCTCTCTCTCTCTCCCTCTCTCTCTCTCTCCCTCTCTCTCTCTC